GGTCTGTGTATCAACACGTCTAAAGGGTGATTTATAGTTGTACTTGGGCTCTAAATCGCGCCTACAGGGTTGCCTATGCAAGTGACCTACGCCGTTGAGAGCATTTATATTTGTGCGCTGGTGTGTCTGCAAGTAACACCGCCAAAACGCCAGTTGGTGGTGAGGTTTCTATGCCACAGTGTTGACTTTCTTCATGTACTTCAAACAATGGCGACTGAAACTCAAACTCTCCCTCGTCTCTCTCCTCAATCTGTCCTGTGTTTTCCGTGTTTTCCTTGTTTTCCTCTCCCCCCTGCCACCCGTGAAACGAAATGGACAGACAAGAGCATGTCATGCAGCGAGGCAGCTTCCCACATGTGCCTGTTTGTGTGTTGTGTGAGAGGACACACTTGTCTGAGAATGTGTATGTGTGTGTTTGAAGAGGGATTCTTAAACAGCATTATTAACTTATCTGGATTTTGCATGAGTCATCTCCCATTCTCAGAGAATGCACGCACACACCAAGCGCACCAATTATAGGCGTTGCGGTCTGCGACGGATCTGAGCACACGCACAATCAAGGCTTCTCATGTCATGCGTCATAATCGTTGAATGTGTTTTTTAAATAAGGTGAACTGTGACATGAGGGGGAAATTGCTGCTCTTTATCGCTGCTTATATGCTGCTGCTAGTGTTAGTGTTCTCTTGCTATTTGGGTTGCTTTGAATTGAGCACATTTTGGGTTGCCTCTACTTTGGACTGGGTGCGACTGTCCTCAGGTTGGATGTCATATCTTTATTTCAAAAGTGAATTTATGCTAGGGGTGCTACGATTGATTACGATCTAATTAGTTTGATCGGCAACCTTTACAAGCACAGATCAGAAGAGTTGATCGGCTGAGGAATTTATTTTATTCCAGTCTTTAACACATAGATTTACCGGTATATAAACGGTCATGGACTCGTTTTAGCATTTTGCAGAGAGAGAGAGAGAGAGAGACACGTTATCTGGTGGATGTTTTACAAGCACGAAGCAGTTAAAGCAACTGTTTCGTTTTCAATATGCGACGTCATTAACACCTCCTCATAATGGAATTGGGGTGAAAACACATTAACAGAGCTGACACATACAGCCTGTATATGGAGAGAGGAGCACAGAGGCACGAGGTTGGGCAGCCGGTGTGTGTGAGACAGGCGTAGGTGTGCGTGTGCATACACTATAAACGTAAGGATCAGCCAATACTGCTTCTGGTGATCGGCCCTTAAAAACCCTGATCAAGTTTGAGTTCAACATTTTGGACCCCTGAAAACTTCTAGTTTGTGTCCTAAAATTTAATCTGACACTGCTGACAGTGAGAAAAATTAATCCCCTTAAATTTAGCTTAGATTTCCAGGAACCTGGGCTGTGTCCAAAATCACTTCCTCGTTCACTTGCTACAGCTAAAGTAAACTGAGATTTGTGACACTGTAATATGCAATACGCATTGTATTGCAGGATTGTTACTAGTGTTAGTGATTGAGGGGATTTAGAGGGCACTGTGTACATTCACAATAAGATTTCGGACACTTAATGGGTTAAATATTGTACAATACATAGTAAAGTGGAACTGATTTTGGATACATTCCTGCTGTTTATCTCACAGGCAAAAAGAATGGAATACATTACTCCATCAACACCAAACACATACAGATTTGAATGATAAATTCAAATCGCTATGTGGACCATGTCACACAATTTGGGACACAATGAAAAGCATCGAGTGTGTGATACTACTGGGCAAAAATGATCAAATCAGCAACACTATAGCATTTTACAGTCATAAAACATTATGACTAACACTGTAATAATTATGTAGACTACAAATATCAGTGGAGCAAATGCGGTGGGCTGGAGGAAACCTATCCATGGCGAGTGTTGATCACAGGAAACCACACTTGCTCAATCTGGCTTCTCAATCTCATCAGTCAGACTGCCACTATCGCTGTCATAGAGAAATGTATGCCTACCCATTGTATCCCTTCACAATCTTCAGGATTCTCTCCTTCATATCTTCAAATGGAATTGACTCCACATTGGGATTTGCAGGACCTCTTTGTTCAGGTGCAGAGGCTCTAAAGTCATCCATCACCTTCTCCAATTTAAACAGGAAGTAGTTCTTAAATTGAGACCATTGAACCCTAGAGAAAAATGTCAAGAACAGAATAAGCGTCAAAACATTTAGAACCTAGAATAGAACAACATAGAATACTATGGCTGGATGCTAGACTGTGATAACATTTTATTTTAGAAGAAACATGAAAATACAGTTACACTGACATCAAAACCGCACAACAAATTGAGAAAAGATTAATTCTGCAAACTCTATAAAATATAAGTATGAATACATCTATAGGCAGTTCTAAAACTATATCGTAAAAGAAATAATAAAATGTGTTTGAGTGTGAAAGAGTAAGGAGGGGGGAGCTTTCAGGCCTGCAATGTTCACTTACATGGTCTCTCCAGTCTTGGCAATATGACATAGAAACTGTTCCAGAAGAGGACATGCCTCCTTCTTTGCTTTCTTATCAAAATCTGAGGAGGCAATGAATAAACATACATTAGCATTACGTTCTGAACTAGCCTGATAATTTAACCTAGTTTAACCCACAGTTGTGATAACTCTACTCTGGAGCATGGATGTTGTGGCTACCTGCAGTGATTACCTACTTTAGCCAACTACATGAAGCTTGTTAGCAGGTCTCTGACGACACTTTGGCTGAAGACGATCACATTGTCTAATTAACGTTAGCTATTTACATAACGTAGCGTTAGCGGGCTAGCGGATGCTGTCTATGTAGCTAGTTCGCTTGTTAGCTACCGCTAGCTTCAAGTTTAGCGCACTGGCTAGCATGTTAGGTTAGCCGCAACAGCGTAGCCGGCAAACAGTGGTGACACTGACCAGATACTTAATCCCAGCCAAAAACATATTTCATTAAGTTGTCAAATACTGAGGGCAAATACGTGTTACTTCGGAAACACGGACAAAGACACGCATCGTATTTAAGTTGGCTTTTTTTGCCTGGCTAATGAATTGGACAGACAGCTAACCATTTCCGTGAAACCGCTTGTAATGTTAGCGTTAGCTAGTCCTGAGTAGCACCTAGCTAGCGAGATTAGCTTTTCGGCTACAATCCGTTTATTATTGACACTATAACAATTTCGGAAGCACGACTTATAGCAGGTGGTCTAGATTAACACAGAAACTATCGAAATAAACTGAAGTGACCTCTGAGCGCCTCTTGAAGCGAGTCAATTTCCATCACGTCGTTGCCCTCTGTCAGTCTTGTGGGTGTAAAAAGCAGACTGGCGGCTAGCTGCTGCTGCTAAGCTAACGTACGATCTCACAGGCAAAGAGGAGGGAGCATTTTAATATGGCGCCGTGAGGTCACTGCCTGCTCAGCAACAGACAAGACACTGCGCTGGGAAGAGCAACAGAGCCATGTGGAATTATTACCTACTATCTAAAGTAATACAGTAAATGATAATAACCAAACAAAATAAAGCTATTTAAACTGTAGGATGCATATATACATATATATTCTTTAAAGGATTTAAGGATATTATGAAGTATAAGAGATGCGTTTTTTGAGTATTTGATCTATAGATATAAATATGCATGGTGGCGCGCATCTGTAATACTTCTGTGCTCCATTTATTCACTCAAGTCAAATACCATTGCAGAGGCAAATAGTGTACTTTTTACTCCACTACATTTGTCCGCCCAGCTTTAGTTACTAGTTATTTTTTTCAGATGACAATTTTCCATACCCTTCCTGTCCAGTGAAAGCCTGTTATCCAAATTTGGTGATTCTGAATTTAGTAAATAATAATAATTTAAATAATTTATTAGTAAATAAATTACTTAAAACCCCATTAGTTGGAACATACATTGTCACAAAGCTTTAAACAAAACTGTCTTTATCATGGAAAGTTGCCTTTTTACACATACTGTGTGGTTCTCACAGGACAGTGATGCTAGAAACATACAATGATCCAAAGGAATATGATGCATTGCATATCTACACAGTAAAATGCAGTATATGCATCAACACAGTAGTAATAATAATTCAAAAACTGTATATAATAGTAAAATACAGACAGGGGCCATTTCCTGCCCTATGAATACTTTTGATATTTTAAGTACACTTTGCTGATAATACTTACATACTTATTACATGATTGTATCTTAGATGTACTTACCATTAAAAAAACACAGGCAAGATCAACACTACAGATGCGCTTATTTGATACAAATTAGGAAGTTATAACCTGTTGAATATTACTGTGCCACTGAACAACTGTTTGTCCTTACAGAGTAGCAAACAGCAGCTAATAACAGTGACAATATTGCCCAGTGTTGTCTATTATCTAAATCATTGGTAGAGAAACATTTGTGATTTGAACAGAGGTGAAGTGACTTTTTGAATTGAATACTACGCTCATATACTTTGTATGCTTTTATACATTAAGTTTTTTTTATTGCTACAGGCTTCATCTTAAGTCTGCCTTATTGGTTGAACCAGTCTGCTGTTCCCAAGGCCCCCAACATAGATTCAGGAACTGAAACTGGGTTTAAAGGACTGAACTAGTTTGAACCCCTTATGGGACAGAATTGGGGGACTCCTGACCTGTTAACTTTTCCCTCAAAGACTAAAATATCAAACAAGACTTGAAATAAAATTTAAAGCCACTGGTAAAACACATACAGTGATACGGCCAATTTAAATCTAGTTTCAGAACAACTAGCAAATTACTATGTTACAGTACCACATTAAGTCCAACCAAACTAAATATAAATGAAGATACTTATGTCAAGGCAAATCTTTAGTGTTGTGATGCAGCAGTTACCTTTACAACAGATTATACCTAACATGTATCTTACCTCACTGTATATTTAATATACAGTTCTGATTTCCTCCATTTGTAATGCTTTGGTATATTTCAAATCCCCATAAAGTGCACACATATGTAAATGAGACTCAGTACATTGCATTGATTTATTTAGAAACACACGTTGACTGTACAGCCATTTTCGGTTTCCAGTTTGAACGATACATTTAAAACATTACACCACAATGAAAGTAACGCTGCGAAGACATCTGACCCATGTGTTCACAACAGACCATATTACAAAGTAAGATACCGACTCAAACACACACGTGTATACCACTCATTTTGTAGCAGTAAACATGGCAGACATGAATATTTATATGGCACATAATCAGCTGTAGTATGTCACTATTTTTTTAAATGCGAACACTTTTGGTTTCGATTCACTCGGACAGTGTAGCATCGAATGTGGACAAGTTGTGTACAAACAACCATCCCGTCCTAATATTATTCTGAAAGTGCATTTTAACATTCGGTATGTAACATAAAATGTCATCTGTTGTGCTGTATTTAATACTGTCAGTGGTATATGGCAACAGACCAAGAACTGGCAACTCTTCTCATTCACACTGGCTCACATTTCAAGTTATTTGCTGGTAAAACATTCACATGATTTTAGAGGAGTGGTTCATGAATCTACTACTTCAAGTAGTAAAGCTTTCCAAAGTCCAAAGTTGACTTAGTCTAGTGTATACCGTGTTCACTAGGAAAAAATACAGAAGGTAGATACTTTTGTTAAACGCTCACTTGACACAAACATGCCTTCAATTTTGCTTTGAGCCTACGCTTGAGATGAATGTTCATAGTTCTTGAGAAAAAAGGATTTCATGCAGTCTTTTTTCACTCTAGTTTTCCAACATTTCATCATCGTACATGACTGCGATGTGAAAGGTTTAAGACGGCAATAAGGCAAACCTATTCTACGGCATCACTGACCAGCACTGTATGCTTCACTGTATACATAGGCTTATTGTCCATCCCATCACTAGAGGCTCATAATGTTCATAGGACCATTCCAGGAAGTGTTATGTGTTGAAAAGACTGCAAACGCAGAGCCAACAGTTCAGTCTCGGAGATGCTGGTATGGCACATAATCCACAGCGAGTTGGTCCTCGGTGTTGTCAGATAAAACAGGGAGTCAGTTTCTCCATCAGTTATTTGTGGGGTCTGACGTAGCGCACCACTTTGTCTTCAAACACCTTCCTCATGGTCTTTTCTATCTGCTTGAGGAAGACTTGAGGAATCCGACCACACAGGGTGTTGACCGTGTCCAGGAACTTGGTCTGGATGGGGTAGAACAGCGACTGGAACATGTTGTCCTCAAAGGGGAACTGCAGAAACAGAGACATTGTCCTGTGTCAGTTCTGATCCCAAAAGCTATTTCAGTTTGATCGTTTTTTTAATGGAACATATCACAGACTAAATGGTGTTCACAAATTGCGTCGGCAGGGCTGGGGTGGGGCGGTGGTGTTTTGTATTAATCATAAATTACGACCCAGCTCGTCTTTAAGAGGCTTATCTCCGTGGAGCAGGGGGGGACTGACTCTGCTGCCGCAGAAAACAAATTCTAAATTTAAAAACTGACCCAGATTGTTTAATGCAAGCCATAGAGAATCTGTATCACAGAGAAAATACACAAAGATGCTCTTTTTCTGAGCTGTAAGTCATTAAAGGAACAGTCCAACAATGGGAACATGGGAAAATATGTTTCTGAGCAATACCTAGAGTCAGATAGGATTAATTAAACAGCTTTTCGGTTGTTAGGTTTTTTTTTTTTTTTTTTGAGAGGGCTAGACTTGCTTCCAGTCTCTGTGCTAAGCTAGGCTAAACGTCACGAAAGTGATGCTGTTTTTTATTGAAGGAACAATGCCTTAAAAAAACCCACGCTGTTTATACGTTACTAACTGGTTGTGCCAGCTAATGTTAGCTCATTTAGTTTGTGTGTGTGGGATTTATGATGCTGGAAATCCATGTATCTAAATTTTGACTTCTAGTTAGTTAAAGTGTACTTGCCAAAATGTTCTTATGGTGCAGACTGTATCTGTTCTAGGGTTGGGCGACTGGACAAATATATTGACTATTGGCAATTATCGCCTTTTTTTGGCTGGTTTTTGTCATTTCATTTTGCTAATTTAACAGTCTGCCTCCGTAGAACGACACTGAGCCAAAGAATGAGTGAGAAGAAAAACAGCTGTAGAGCCAGAATTATTCACATCTAACTGCGGTCAATTAAGGGTTTAGTTTGACTAGTTTGATGACAGGAAATGCAGTAACAAGGTGATTCACAGAGCCTCCAACCCAGGACTTCCAGGGAGGTGAGGACACTGCTGGGACAGGCTGGGACAGGAAAGGGACAGGGCCAGGAGAGGAGATGCGTGAAGCGGTAGAGAAGCGACAGGGAGGTCAGGCATCAGAGAGGCAGTGACAGCGCGTAGAGCCAGAATATTTTTCACATCTAACTCGATTAGACACCAGAGTCGGTGACTGTTTGGTTTTTCACTCGGTATCTCGAGGGGGCTCCGGCTGTGCCAACCAACCATAATCTATTCCTTTATGTGTTATGTATATTCACATTGTCCATATATGGTTTAAATGAGTCTGAGGGACTGCGTAGGAAAACTAGCTGTATAGGTCTCAGCAGACCTGGTTTTCAGCAGATATTTGGTTGTGCCATAGCAGGAAAAGCACAGGTGTAACTAATAACGTTAACGATGGATGACACCAGGGCGCTGGAACTGACACACCTAAATGGAGTGCAGCCATCGTTAATGTGATTAGTTGCACCTGTGCTTTCCTGCTATAATGTGTCAAAATGTCGGCTCTATTATTGCAGCCACTCTGGGAATACATCTCTTTAATCTCAATTACAGGTTTGTTTATGTTCATGTAATCATTTCTATCAATAAAATACAAACAGTGTCATTATTAGGCGTTAATGGCCTATGGAAATGAATCGGGCATTGGGATTAACATTTTTTATTATGACATATTGTGTCAGTAAAGCGTTCCTATCCCACGTGGATACTTACGTCACTGATTGCATCATAGACTACTTTGAACGCTGGCTGCTTGTCATCATGATACACGCCGCGGTTGCCATGGAGGATGGATACGCCCTCCTCTTCAGCCCCTTTGCAGTTACTGCCATACATACAGTGATCGGGCCTGTAGTTCCACTGGCAGGGAAAGATGAAGAGACACTCTGGGGGAAAAAAAACAACACACATGATTGCTTTGTGACACCAACGCTATCTTATGTGAATATGATGCTATATATGATACATATGATACAGTCAGGACAGTATTCAGTTCAATTAGCTTTATTGGCATGAGTGTAACAAAGGCAATACTGCCAAAGCATTAAGAACTCATGAAGGTTAGTGACTGATAGATTGCTAGTTTGATTCCACAGGAAACCTGGAAATAAACCTGGATGGAGAACTTCAGCTGCAGTATAGAACATACATATTTGTCCTTCCTCAATGTTAACAGTGGTTTGTGCACAAATTGTGTGTTTCTGAAGGGCAAACTGAATATGTAGCCAAAACAGTGGAAAATGTAGACACCAGCTGTAGGAGGATATGTTGTCTCACAATGGATGTATCAACATGAATACAGTGTTCAAGGGTAAAGTCCCATTCATTCTAATGCAATTCAGAGTACACGCATTCAAACATTGATGTGTTTTTGTCTTTTCGCAGCAATGGAAAAACATCTTTCCGAATGTTACGTGACATGTTGTTGTGACTGTGGTAAATTTTGCGGTAAACACAGCCCAGTTCTGTTCCAGAGGGCTCGTTGCCCACGCGTAAACAACACAAATAATATAAAGACAAAAAGAATAAGAGGACGGAAGGAAAATGTCATCATCCTCTTCTGCACAGTCTGCGTGTGCTGTTTCTTTCCTCCCATTTATTTATTTACTTGCACCTAAAAAATATGAAGACCTCTGAAAGCACACTAAATTATTTTTACTGCAAAGAACGCTTGAGAAACGCAATCAACCTCCAACTGCTCCAGTACAGCAGCTCAATGGCCAATGCTTATTATACCACTGCTGCAAGGGGGGGATGTGTACATGCTGTATGTACAGTATGAACATCAAATAAAGAAAGCATGAATGTTGATATATATATTTGTGACATATACAGTAGTATATTTAATAAGCTCTGTGTGGTTGTATGGCATGCATAGGCTAAAAAGTTAAAAATAAATAAAACTATACTGACGGTGACATGAATCCTGATCTGAAGCGAGATCACAGTCTTTAGAAGATTGCACTACAAGCAAAAAGGAGTCAGAACAATGCTTAAAGACTAACTTGAGTATTTCTCTGGAGACAGCTGGGGGCTCAAAGACGCACCATTTCAAACAAACACTTCATTTGCTGTGATTTCAAGCAAACGTCGGCGATGCCAGCTCTACCGATGGCTCTGAGCACTTAATGCCCACATCTGGCAGCTGCAGCTGGAACTCAGTCTGTGCTTGCCTACAGCCATGGCCTCATGTGTTTACTGAACCCGGTTCACAATGTAGACTGGTGGATTAACAGTGCAATAAGATACAATGTATGAGGACATGTTGATAGTGTGAAACCGCTGTACTGAATGTGTGTAGAATGGTAATTCAAAATGGATTTACGGTATATACACAGTTTGATGTACGGTATATACACAGTTTGATGTTCTGTTACCTTTTGTGGACCTTCACTAGATCATTTTAAAGCCTCTTTCTGGCGATAAAGAAAGAGTTTTCAGTGTGATAATAATATGTTCTATAATAAGTGTAGATGACATAAGTACATTGGTAAAAAGGACTTTACCTGGGTTGTAGTGGAAGATAATGTTGAGGAGGTCCTGGTCTCCCCAGGTGATGTGGTTCTTGTACTTCTGATAGAGTGGATGTAGAAGATCCTCCCATGACAGGCCACTGGGGATCATACTATTCTGAAATACCAAACAACCTTCACTCGCAAACAGCTCATGAGCAGCCTTTTTTTTTTTTTTTGCACAAAAACACATCATCAAAGGAGGAGCACATTTACATTCCCACTTCCATTTGCAATCTGCTGGCAGTATTAAGAGCTGGAGAGCTGCTAAATTGAGTTCTGAGGGCAGGAGTCTGTGATGCCAGCGTGGTAATCAGAAAGCTTCAATCACGGCCCACTCAGAGCACTCTGCCTGTGACTTGAGCTTATAGGAAAAAAACCCTTTAGAATGCAAAAGGGAAATCACAGCCCACTTTAGCTTTTCTTCTGATCACAGTGTGAGGAAAACCAACTTATGTTTTGACCTTACTTTGAACATTGTGCTGCGGATCCTCGTGAGATTCATCAGCATGACACCAGAGTTGACCCCTGTGACTCCATAGAAAGGGTGGCGCGCAAAGCGGCTGTACCAGCCAATCTTTGGGACCTCGTGCTCTGGGGCCATTGCTGCCAGCTGGGTGCTGTTGAAGGACTTAAGGAGACTCCAGATATCATCCATGGGCCGCAGGAACAGCACGTCAGTGTCTACGTAGAGTAACGAGTCCACGTCTTTCAGGATGACCTGGGAGGAAATAATCATCATTGTAGTTATTGTAGTAACCTTTCATCTAAAGAACTAGAATGGGCATGATTGCACAATGTAGTCAAAATTCATTACATGGGGCGCCTGGATAGCTCAGTGGGTAGAGCTGGCGACCCATGTACCGAGGCTGAGTCCTTGCTGCAGCGGCCCAGGGTTCGAATCTGACCTGCGGCCGTTTACTGCGTGTCATCCCCTCTCTCTGTCCCCCTTTCCTGTCTATCTTCAGCTATCTCTATCATAAAGGTAATAAAAGCCCCAAAAATACTTGAAAAAAAAAAATGGAAAAATACACCATTTCTTTACCACTACACTGTCTCTACCATGTAAGGTGCACCTGTCCTTTTGCACAGACAGCATGTCCTCCCAGACAGCATGTCCTCCCAGACAGCGACTCACATATTAATAAAAACATAACTATAAAGTATGCAGAAAAGATCAAGAGGCTCAGTTCACATCAGATCAACTACATGGTCTGAGTAGGGAAAAAGACATCAAACAAACCCTGTAGTTTCAGTATTTCATCAAAACGAAGAGTCTACAGCCAGGCTAGCTGCTCTGGGGGCTCCACAGCAGTGCTTTGAATCAAATGCTAACATGCTCACTGCGACATTGCTAACATAATGATGTTTTACAAGTGTAATGTGCACTGGGTTAGTTTGCTAGCATATCATAATCAGAACAAAACTGCGAGTACAAATAAGGCTGATGGGATGCTACACATCTTGATATCGCTGAAATCCACACCTCATTGTTCATTGATGTTGTTTTAAGTATATCTCTCGGGTGGACACCCTCCTTGACACATTCCCTGAGCCAAGTTTCTGACACACTTCAAATCAAAAATGTCACAGTGTTGATTCGAAAACTTGTCCCAAAATATATATCTATTTTCCGCTTCACAGTTTTGCATTTGTAAGATTAATCTTAATAATTATCATATTGGTCTTGGCCACAAAATACAGATAATTACTGACTATCATCATAAGCTGTGAAATTCGGTGCGTCTCTAATATTAATAAAACCATGAAGACAGCATCAAGAGGTTCAGTCCAGGTCAGATCAATGACATGCTTGAGTGTGGAAAAGGCGTTATTTCATGGATTTGGAATGTAGTTCAACATTAAACAACTTCCCTAGAAAGCGCTGGCAACCAAGGATTTTTGTCCATCACCGTTGCTAGGGTTTACTGATAAAGGTGTGATAAAACAGAAAAATAAAAAGCCAGTATCAAGACGGAAGTGATCCATGGAAGATCATTCATATACCATTAGACAGTGAAGTTGTGGGCCACAATGGGAGAATAAAACGCTGACTTCCACTGTCTGCTAAGAACAATAAGATGAGTTAAAGCTGAGATAATGACTTCCTGCATCCACTGATGAGTTGTGCTGTCAGTGCATTGCAGAAAAATGATGGGGCGAGTTTGGCTGAGATAAGATTTAGTTTTTACTCTTCACCACCAGCCAGACACAGAGCTGAGAAACTTTCAGGGGTTTAAACCATATTTTAGACAGCCAAAGTGACTTCCCAGCATACAGTATAAGGACAAACAAAAAAAAAAAAAAAAAAAAAAAAAAAAAAAAAAAAAAAAAAAAAAAAAAAAAAAAAAAAAAATTTTTGGACTATTTGGAGTATTTGCGGTTGCCGTGTCTCCCAATCCTCAATTGTCTCCATTGCAGGGGGAGAACAGTGGGAACAAAAACAGAACCCATGAAAATGGTTACATAACTGGCAAAACATTGATGTGGTAGTACTCAATCAGGACGGACCAATCCAGCCTACACATAATTTAGATATTATAGAGGCAGGAAAGACTTCTACGAGGTTCTCCAAAGGTATTCCTAGGTATAGCCAATAGTGAATGTCCATTGTTTGCCTTGCAGCAAGAGAAAGCACCTATGGATCTGTCAGACCTGCAATATGTTCATTACATGGTTAAGTAAGCTGGCTTATTTCAATGAACACCAGCAGAAAAAAGGAAATCAATAAGCAAGTACAGCCTTCACTTGATGAAATTACTGGATTCCGTCTCTGGAGACTGCTTATTTGTTAAGTAAATGCTGCAGAAGAGGTGTGAAATCATCAATAATCACACACGTAATTAATTAGAGCCATGCACTGGGATAAAATAAAGGGTAGGGAAATGCTGTTTAAGTAGAATTGAAATGGATTAATGTCATTTTTTTGTTCTTCACACCAGTTAATGACATTATGCACGGCGAGGATATGGGAGGAGATAAGTGCCGCAGCCTTACAGGGAGGAAGAGTCTCTGAGCAGCGCAGGGCTTGAAGAGCTTCTTCCACTCGTCAGCGTTCCCCACAGAGAAGGTGATTGGGTAGATTCTGTACTGGAACTTGGCTGAGATGGAGCGAGGCCACTGGTTCAGCTGGAAGTGAAGCAACACACCACATATTACGCAGAGGACGTGTCTAATGGACTTCTTAAAAGGTTTAGCAAGGGAAAGTGTGTGAGAAATTATAAACAATCATTATCCTGAAAGCTAATCTCTCTCCCTCTCTTTTCACAGACTTATCAACATAAAATGGCTCGTAAAGACGCCATTTAAAACAATGAAGTCATGTCTCGTGGTGCTGTGCTGCGGTTCTGCATGGAACACATGCAGCCCACAGCTGTTGTTTTATTAAAAGGCTATAGTCTAAACAAGGGAAGGCACCCTCTTAAAGTCCACAGCGTATCGCTAAAGCTGGTGTTACCCAACCTGTTAGGCGCTGACTCCCTCTGTAATCATCAGTTTAACAGTTTGGCCCTGAAAAGAGTGAGAGCACTGCAAGCAACTGGCAGGGTTTGTGCTGACGAGGACAAAAAGACGAAGAGAGAGACAACATTTTTAACTCCCTCAACACACATACACCATGTCTCTTAACCCTGCTCCTTGCTGTACATACCCAGCATATGTGCCACATTAGCTAGGCCTTGACCAGCACGACTCCCTGTCTTCCACAAGGGGATTTTCAACACATGAAGGCGAGCTCACAGGTTCGAGGGATTGGATTTAAAGCAGTTTAAGGTGCTTTAGGTGCCATTCAGAGTCCATTAGGTGAAATGATGTTAATAGACTATAATTTACAATATGGGTGGAAGTCAAAATCATGCCAGACACCTCTGTAAAGGTGACTTTGAAGTGATATACGGTACTGGAGAAAAAGCAGGGTGTCTTGGTGATATATTACGCCCCAGCCTTGAGATAAAAGGGTTATATGTCTGTACTAGAGTGAGTCAGAGAGGCAGAGTTAAAACTGCTCTGATCTTGATATCATCTATCACAAAGAGAGAAGAAATGTTTAACATGCACCGGATTAAATCAGAAGTCGAGGACTCACTGAGGAAGTATACAGAGAAAGTAAACCAAAAAGAGTGCTAATAGGTGAGGTTTCTGTGGTATCATGTTTGATCTTGTTTCTTTTCTTTTCTAATATTCTGCACTGTATACATTTGGGCATCAGGCCAGTGGAGGATTCTTACCCTTTCTTTAAACTGTGGAGCCAAAGGGTCCTCAGCAAAAATGTGAAATGTGATCCTCTTGAGGCTGAACAGGAGGGCTGATTTGACCATGGTGAGGGTCTCGTCCAGACGATTCCCACAGGCCACCACAGCCAGGTGCATGACCTCCTCAGCCCGCGTACGCTTGAACATAGGTCGGGCCACATTACTCCGCGGTTTACTAAAAAAGACATGCAAAGGACAGGGATGAAAAGTGTACTAAACTGCTAAAAGTCTTGTACGAGAAAAAAAAACAGAAAATGTGCAAAACTATTTTTTAGATGTAAATGAGCCAAGACCATGTGTGGGGGAAGTGGAGAGGGTTTGGATCTGCTGACAATCAGTGATTCCACAAACCTCTTTTCCCTCACTCATCGCCTGTAAAATGGCCCGTGTGCTGCGGTGTTTGTGAGGAACAATGTGCACTGAACTATGAGTCAAAACATACAAACAAAATGAAAGTACTGAAAAAGAGACTTTGATATTTTTTTTTAGGTTTGACCAATATAGAATAATGATAACCATCATTTTTTTTTTATTTATTTAGGCCAGCACATTCTGATAGTTTGTGGTAATATTTAATACCTACACATGCATGCCCATAAATATATTTAAACAAAAATCCCCCAAATTATATGGCAATACAGCACTTCTGCTTATACTTAGACAAGTGTATAAAACAGCCCTTAAACATCTTAAACCCTTCTCTGTAATTGGGCTAGTTATTAACCTTTTGCTCCCTAAAAATGCTCCAAAATGTTAAACAAAGCTTTGTTCACTGTGCAGAAACATTGAATTTATCTGCTTCATTGCAGTGATATCGTGCTTGTACTAAAGATAACATTCAAATCCAAGACAGCATTTTTTCTGGTTGCATGATTCCATTAAATTGGAAATGATGTGTTGTGCATTGATACACATTTCTCTGAAATTCCAGCCTGACATATTTCAATGACAACGTGACAACTGACAATTTCAGTTAGGTATCTGAGGAAAGCTCAGCTGCTGAATGTGCAGTTGTAATTATAGACTCAGTGGTAGGGCTAAAAGGGTAGAAGTAGGGCTGAACTACTGCAAGTTTTTAAAGTATGATTCTCTCAGACCAATATTGTGACTAAAATTTAAAAAGAGATATTTTATTTATGTTTTATAAAGAAATTAAACTATACTGTTTGTCTACATAATATAATGTAATCACACATTTATGTTGTTTGAAGTTTTTTTTTAAGTAAACTTGACTCGTTTTCTACAGGAAAATTGACAAATTCAGCTCACCCTTACAGTAAGTAGTATGGTATTACAATTGTAGTCCACATTACTCAGTAATAATAAAAAAACATTTTCATATTGATAGTTTACATGTAGGTCAGCTCTGACAATGTTAAAGTTCTGATATCTTACTGACTTGACATCTCTGTGTCAGTTTGAGCTATCGTTCGCTTGCGTTAACAGACTGATGGCACCAGCTGCTTTAAATAAGATAAAACTAAAACAATGATAATATATGCTTAGAAGTTCACTTAAGTAAGTTTTTCACTTATCATTTGCAAGTGGAAGAATATTTTGTAGAGGTTACAATGTCTCCCTTTAAAGCCTGTGCATTTTGCTGCAGTACAATGAAGGCTGAGACCTTTATACTGAATGCTGATAAACTGTACAATAAATATTTAATAGACCAAAATGCACCTATCAGGGTAATATTATGCCCGCATACTGAGCTAACACGTTAAAAACCAGCACATGTAAGCTCTCCTCACCTGTCACCATGCCACTTTATGAACATTCCAGCAGCACAGATATTCATGTTGGGCTTTATGAGAATCAAGAAAGAGGAAACAGGTGAACCATTCAAGAAAACAGCAGATCACCACATTCATTCTCCTGTCAGATAGACGAGGGGCAATGTCAAGGATCATTTCTCAAGGACAAGACATCCGTGCCTATGTGCCTATATTGTTCAACACCACCTCCACACACTACCACACATACACACACACACACACACACACACACACACTCAACTACTTCTTTTCTTCTGTAGCTCTGTGAGTTCCCACTTTGTTTTTACATGCTCAAAAGCAAGGAGGTCCTTTATCTGATGCAAAAATGTGCTTTCTCTGCAGAGCCAGCGCTGCTGTAGAGTTAAAACACGCTCAGCGGTGTAGAGTATCTCCCTCTACGATAAGGAGACATTAGTATAATGGGGGAGCCTGAAGCTATGGCCGACATCATCTACTTGTCCTCCAAATACACACACTGCATGGGGCAGGTTGTAGTTACAATATGTTCAGCATAAATGTTGTCAGAGCCGTAGGGGAAGAAGACTGGCATACAAAGAATGGCATAGAACCTTTTCTTCAGCGTGTAGCGTTATTTGGGAGAACAGTGGAAGGCAAATGGTTTTACAGCTAAAGACTGCATATTGCAAAAGACATGGATTTCCTCTGAGCCTGGAGGAAGCAAAGAGTCTACCATAAAACGGATGCGAGGAGAGAAGAGAGAAATTTGACAGGTGGGTTTCAGGGCAGTCTCCAAGCGTGACACTTCGTTTTCTGCATGGCTGAGGGACAATGATGAACCGCAGATTAGGATGAATGAGAAGGTGCTGAGAAATCTGTCTGCCACGCTTCGAAGGCTGATGCTCTGTCAGGGTTGTTGAACACACATTCCTATTTTCTCGCAGAAAATGCAATCCATATCTCCAACACGAGTATAATTACGTACGCAATTAGTCATGCAGAATAAATGCCCTTGAAATGATTTCGGCTTAAAATTGGTTGATAAAAACAAAAAAAATATATTTCTTAGTTGCATAAAGCATGGGCTGCACACATGATGTTTTCTGTCGTGGCTCTGTTCCCCACATCTGGAAGCAGTCAAAAACCACAGAAGAGGTACAAAAGGAGTGAATTCATTACTGGCTGCAGAGTGAGCATGAGAGCAGCCCTCTGCCTACAAAGCACCACAGCCTTTTAGATCATGTAAGGAGAGAAAAAAGCAGCACCTTCAAAGATAATGTCAAAGAAAACGTGCATGTACAGAGTAAAAACTACACCAACGAACACCTTGAAGGTATTTAATTAATCAGCATATAACTGGGTCATTTGCTGGACTCGTATCCAAGGTGTTTCGCTTTGGGTTAAACCATTGTGTATCAAAACCATGAAACAGAACATGTTCCCATCATGCCCTTCTTCTATTTGGGGTTTGAACAGATTTCGGCTCTTCAAAAAAAGGCACCAAATGTAAGACCACATGACAGTGAAACCTACAGATACTTCTTCAGACTGATTACCCTGACTCATTACTACAAGTTGCGAAACCGTGGCAAAGCAGAGAAAATGAGGAAATCTGTGGTGACTGGTTGAAAATAGCGGTTGAGGTAAACAGAGCCAGCTGATTCAAACTTTCATGAAAACCAGATTACCTGTTTTCATTTCCTTCGACCCTATGAGATGATTTGCAATCATCAGGATGTCTGTTCGTCAATGTGCGTCAACCCAACTCTTTATTCAACCAAGATGTGCTCATTAAACCTGATGACATTTTATATGAATGTCTTGAAAAAGAGATTTCATACCATTGAAAAATGTTCCAAAAAACCATCACACATCTAAAAATGGGGGAAAACCAGTCACTTATTCATCAAGCAATGCACCAAAAGCTTCAGGATGAGAAAGTATACCTTACAAAGAACTTGGTGAAAGACATTTGGTTTGGTGCTTGAATTTCTTCGGTTCGCCATGTGATCCAAAATGTAGTACACATTTGCCTGTTACACTTGAATTACACATAAATTGTAAAGTGAGAGCTCTACCAGAAAGGTTTGGGCAGTGAGACAGTTAGGGTAGTTGGGTTAGCTCATTTAGCGAGTGTCTTTGGCATTGCAAACGCGGCCAGTGTGTGTTGGCTTGAACTTGAACTGAAGCTGGGTATGTCTCTGCAAATCAAAAAATGTGCTTAGGCACTGGTGACAGCATCACTTGAATAAATCTAATACAGGACACAAGCCCCATTAGCCCTATTGTGCCTTCAGTATAAACAAGCACAATTAGCAATTGTCCAGAAATGATCAGGCTAAAGTAAATTGTGTGTACTGCTACACTCCAACTGAACTCTATTTGAATATTGACTAAATGTTAATTATTGAAAGCATCACCAGCACCAAGAGATTCATTGTCCAGAATGTAAAATAACTGGCTGCAATGTCAATTTCTGTATGTTTTAATGAATCAATCATCAACACTGTAGATGATTAAGTCTGAGTTAATAACTGATAACTGTGTAAAACTGTCTTCCATGGAAACATCCCAAGAAATGTGGGCTTTTACCCAATGAATGTTTCTAGTTTCTCCTTCCACACCCTCTATGACTCATTCGCTAGTAATCTGAAAGTCAGTTCGCCAGGTCTAACAGACAGACTTAACTGCCCCAATGGGGCTCAAACAAGGGAACCTCTCCAACCACGTCAGGCTACACAGGCAAGGAGGGAGATTTCAAAACACTCCTAGCAGAGAGAGCGTTCAGTCATGCAAGATGACATTTTTATAGCTATGCATAATGCCACTGCGAGAGAGTGACTTCTTTACTGCGAGGAACACTGCATAACTATATCTGAAGTGACAAGGCAAGGGATTTGTTTCAACACAAAGCATCAACACCCATTCAATCCTGTAGTTGCAGGCCTTAATTCAATGTAACAAAGCAGACAGAGGCATTAAATCTGTTATTATTCTGCATTGGAAACATATATAGGTTCAAGATTCAAGAGGTTTATACTGAAAGTAGTAAAGACATCAGACTGAGGGAATGTGTTACTTAGGTAAAGGCTCTGTTGTGATGATTATAAGTCACAGGTTTTGATGTTTAGAGCTGTGACCAACATTTTCATTATCAATTGATATGCTGAGTGTATAAAATGTTCGGAAGTAGTGAAAACTTTCCATCAGAATTTCCTTGAACCCAAGGTGACATTTTCAAAACAATTGTTTTGTCCGACCAACCCAAAGATATCCAATATACAAGCTATAATGAGACATTTGAGAATCTGGAACCTGCCAATGTCTGATGATTGTTACTTAGTAAATGATAATTCCTGGTACGGGTTTCAAGACATATCAAAAGTATGGTATTACGATATTTTTGTTTTGTGGTGTGTTCTTTAAACTTTAAACGACAGTTTTTTAATAAATTGCAGTATATCACCTTGCTTACTGTATCGCAGTATATTGAACGGTAACCGCTGTATCGTGATACGTATGGTATCACTGCATTCTTGCAAATACACAACCCTAACTCCCTGATTACAAACACTGTTGTGGATTACATTTCTGTCATTTCACTGTTTGATTATTCAACTAAAGATGTTTGTCTCAAAATGGTGTCTACATTTGTTCCCCCCCCCACAGTATGTGTGCATGATGTTTGGGCAGCTGAAGCTCCTCTGTCTATTTTTGGACACAGGAAGTAGTGTGATGTGTCAAGAGGAAATGATATGATTAGGAAAAACAGGGATGTTTGTCTATTAGGCATGCTGCACAGGAAATCTGTCCACCGCTCAGATTTACAGATGAATAGAGAGTCGAACAACAGATATTTAAAAAAAAAACAGACCTGAAAGGCCAGTTTGTGTGAAGATACACACACCTGTATGACAAAATGTCTGTTTGATACTGAGGAAAACAGGAATTATAGAGGCGACAGTGGACAGCCCTCGCACATTAAGGGTTTCCTTCCCTAAAATCAATTATTTATCCCTTTATGTGTCTTTATTTATCATTGTTATTATCCCTATGAACCACATTACCAGCCGAGGGTTGTATGTGTAATTGAAAACTGCACCCTATTGTTCACAGTCCTCTGGCTTTTATGCTGTAAACCAAACATCCACCCGATTAGCTCATGCAATTAAACAGAAGAAAGTTTTTGGGCGGCTTTGGCCAGATGCTCAATGTGTTTCCCCTAATCGCAGCAGTCAGTCTTGAGCCTTTTCCAAACCTGTTAGTGTTTTTTTTTTTTTTTTTTACGGCCACTGCTGACCCCTTCCACCCCATCTCCCTTATCAGCACTGAGCACACATGGAGGAGTGTGTGTTTCTGGGAGGACGCAAAGGTCCTTTCTCAATGTAACGCCTTGATGGCTTTTATCTACCGAACAGTGTCCCAAACCTCCAGTCTGGCTTTGGAGTAGAATACATATTATTGCCTGCCGGCGCAGCGGGTATCTCCACGACCACGTCCTGGCCCATTATGGCATCGCCTGGCGTTCAGCTCGGGAGGAAAACGCCAGGGATGTGTGAGGCTGAAATTAGAAAGCTGGAAGACATAATAAAACACGCTTCCATCCTTGAACAGAAATAGCAACTGACTAACTCTGCCTTTTGTCTACATCTGAGGGAAGAGAGGGTGGCTTAATCAGATCATCTGCCGGGGTTGCAGCGTCTCTTTAACCACCCGGAGAGGAGAATCACACCTGACAGACTTTTCGGTCCCTCGTGGATTGTTTTGACAGACTTTGACAAGAGAACGGTCAACAGGATGGGTGTCCCTTTTCTGCCATTTCCAGTAATATCTCACCACTACTGCAGTGCAACTCTTTAACAGACTGCCGAACCCTTCTGTGCTCATTTTGTAATCCTTATTAATTGCAATTTATGTCTTTCAAGGTGACCTTTACCCCTTTAAAGCAGCAGAGGGTTGAATTAAAAGGCCTACAAACCCCAAGGGGTCAAATGATGTAGATTTAGAGGTCAGGTAAAGCTTGATCCTTCAGTTGTGCCGTTGTTTGATGCCCTCTCTGCACACACTGCCAACATTTCCACATGATCACATTAGTCATGCTCCCTGCTCACATTTCAGCTAGACATTTGAGCAGCCCCTGGTTGCAACAGCATGATTCACAGTCCAACAAATGGAAAGAAATGCCAAGCAGATGTCCATATGTGTGCGTTCAAAGTGTCCCTTGACAGATCAGGCTATTGTAGAGCCAGCGTCCTTGAGCACAATGTAGGCTGTTTGATGGAGGGAGCACGTCTGAGCCAAAGCCAAATGAAACGCTGACAGGCTCACTCTTTTAACTTCCTAGCGACAGGAAGGATGAGATACAGCAAGAACAAAGTAGTTAGTGGCGCTTTTGTGTGCGCAAATGGAGGAGAAAGAGCTCGCCAAAGGCTGCAAATCGACAGAGGAGAAAGAAACAAACTCACCTCTTTGCATTCACGCCGGCCCCTCTGTTGCTCGCTCTGCCCTGTTTGCGTCTCTTAAGGGGCTCTTCCGCACGCACGCCGACCCCGGCGGGTGGTTTCTTCGCAAACTTTGCCGCAACATCGCGTCCGAGCTCCGGGTGCGACGGAGAAGACTTGCTTTCCTGCTCCTCCTCCTCGTCCACAACTTCTTTCAACAGCGGGTCGTCCGCGGCGTTGCCCCCCAAAAAGTACAAAAGTAGGAAAACTCCGAAACACACGGCGATCACAACTACTTTGCCGTGGATCCGCATGGTGAGAGCGACTTGTTGCGGCTGGAAGAGGCAGACGGGACTCCGCTCATGTCTGCGGGTGACGGAGAGCAGCCCCAGTTGACATTTTGTTACCGCTCCCAGCTCGCATTTTTCTGCAGATGATGATGGAGAGCGGAGAGGAGCTCCTCATCGTCCATGGAGGATTACACAGCGGAGGCGTGGCTTCTCCGGCAGTACCGTAATGACGGCGGTATTACCGCGCTATTATACTGTAGTAACACTGTAAGAGTTGTAGTAAGAGAGGTATGGATGTATGTATTGTTGATTTATGTTTTTATTTTCGGCACTGCTGCTACACATTTACACAACTTACACTGTGTTGTCATGTTAATATTCCCCTACATTTTATACGGGAAGTTCCTACAATAAAAATATTCATAAAAAAATAATTACCTTAAGATCTTATTTATCTTTGAAGTTGACTACAGTCTTACAACAACTAGTGATTTGTTCATCATAATTATTACCAAACAATAAGACGGTAAGTCCTCCATCTGATAATCAGTGGTGAAAGACATTCAGATCTTTTACTTTAATTAAACATAGCAATGCCACATTATGAGATGGTGGGCCCATGAGCATGTATGACTTAATAAGCCACAATCTTTGCTTGTCAAGTGACCACAAAGTTGCAGAGTTGTTGCTTGATATCTTGGTGCAGGCATCAAACACTCACTTTGAAGGCATCATAATGGCATTTTTGTGTCTTTTCAAAGGGAATGTTCAGGGTATTGCTTCAGCGTTTCACAAGAAAACTTTAGCCCTTGTATTTCCAATTAGGAATCTTAACAGCAACTTTGCCCAGAGGCTTTGATTTGGGACCCCTGACGCCTGTGTCTGATCTTGTCTGAAGTGTCTCAACTAAAAGTACTCATTAAGCAGCAGGATGGCCTGTAGCAGCATTATTGGAAGTTTTACTGAGGCATTATTGTGTAAGCAACATTTTAATGTTGTAGCTAGTGGAGATGTAGCTCATTTTAACTACGTCCACTGTTTGGTAGTTTAATCTACAACAATGCTTAATATTTTACAAGCTCATAAAAGCTTTCTTTAATTAGGAATGAATCAAATCAAAGTAGCAGCTATAGATGTGCAGCTGTCAGATAAATGCAACGGAGAGAAAACTTACTTCAAAATTGTATTGAAGTACAGTAATTTAGTAAATGCACAGTTACGCCACCACTGCTTATCTATGACTTTGATTAATAAAGTATTTTTAAATCATGCATTAACTTCAGCAAGGAAACTAAACCAAGGCTACTGAAGGCTAAAGTGACCCAAATCTGATTCATTTGTTCATACGTGACTCAGATCTGATTTTTTTCATGACAGTGCAAACAATCCCATGGAATTTGATCTTCTTGATTCTGATTTGGGCCTCTTTCATTTGTGGTCCAAATCAGATTCAGGTTCTGATTCTTTGCAATGTGACCTCAGTGTGAACAGTCATATGAGAACTCATGTTATTTATCTTACTCTATTGACATTCATCATATGGGTCACTTCAGGACTGTGACCTGGAATTGACACTGGAATCTGAAATGAGCCAAACAAAAAAACACACACACAAAAAAGACCTGAGCAATAAATCAGAGTTAAGTTAAGGCTTGCAGTGTGAGCGTAGCCTAAGAGTAATGTTAGGCTTTGTCCACCTGTCACCTCCTCGAGTATGAGACCCTTGACCCTCTGTTGGGGAACAATTGTGTGTCACTTTACCGCTAGTAAACTACATAAAAAGATCCCTTACTGCTACACTGACATATCCTGAAATATGTGGACTGTCAATAAATGCATCTGCCTTGTGGAAGAAAAATGTGAATTCTGTCAGAACATTTTACTGCCAGCTTACACGTTGTATTACGGTAAAACATGGACGCTACACCCATGAGCTGCCTGTAAAGCTCCTTAGGATACCTCTGTGTTTTTCTGGTGAGTGTGTATGCTTCTTAACTGTGTCCTCAATGTGTTGTGTTTTAGTGACTGTCACTGAAGTGACTTTAACAGTCCATTTCCACCGTACGCACTGGAATAAAAGTAGTGTCAAGTAGCCAGCTAGCACTGCTGCTGTGCTGTGTTAGCCGAAACACGAGGAGACCAATCATGTGTTAGCTTAATGTACAGGCTAATAGCGAGCTAACCATCTAACGAAACTTCCTTTGAAAAACATGTCAAGTCAGTGTGACATACAGTTTATCGACAAATATGATCGCTTCATGGATAACTATTGAACATGTTATGTTTTTTAGAATCCATAGTTTAATTCGGAAAGCATGTAGATAAATAAAAAGGTCTAATATACACGAAATTTAGACCTTGAGAGTTTTTATGCACGTGAAGTCCCTAACTTCCTTTGCTGAAATAGCCATATAGGAGTGTACGTTAACGTGAGTAAATGTCTTTTAAAGATGCTTCTTGGTAGATGAGGGTAATGCCGGACATAATTATAGACCGTTGTGATTAGTGAAAGGGGTTAAGCAATGTTTTGAAACATACATAAGTCCGTCAATAAGGAAGACCTTTTTAAATGTCCAGATTTTCAAATGTAGTTTGGTATGAACGTCTTCCTAAACAAGAGAGGACGAAATGATCTGGTTACAAGCTAATGTTAAGCTAAACTAAAGGCATCTTTTGTAAGTTGCTGCAGTAGGAAGCTAGTCGTTATGTTGTACACAAGCTTTGTTTACACCTCTCGCTATCGGTGTGGCACACGTGGGCTGCTGCTGCTGCTTGAGGAGACGCGAGCCACGACTCGAGTCAACCACAAGGTGGCATGCTACAGTCAGCCGGGCCGTCATTCATTCAGCTGTGGAATGCGATCCTTCACATTGTAACCTGTGATTATTCCTGTCGTTGGTGCTACAGGGCTGTGTTACATTAGGATCCACAATGATAACCCCTGCGTTTGACCTGAGCCAAGATCCCGGGTACCTGATGCTCAACATCCGTGTTCCCTACACCAGAACATCAGAGTTTGACATCTACATTGATGGAACAGATTTCAAGTTCTATGCCAAACCCTACTTTCTCAGGTGAGAAACCAATACACTTAAACCGATGCGACTGTATGTACCTCTGTTGAAACCTAGCTTGGATTAGAAGGGGTGCAATGTAAGCAGTTCATTCGTGGGTTTATCAAGTAGCACCATCTACCTCAGACTTGAATTTCTAGTCATTTATTTCCCCAACATGGTATTAATCTCAATATCAGTTAAAAATGTTGTCTTTGCTATTAGTGACTATAACAATCTGAGTCTGTGTATGTTATTTTCAGATTATCTCTTCCTGGAAGAATAGTGGAGGATGGGAGAGAAAAGGCCAAATTTGACATTGATAAAGGTAGGTCACATTATTATATGACGATAAAGCATACAATGGTTGTAAAATAGCGTGACTTGTCATGTCAGCTGTGTGGTGATGTTACAAAACAAAATGCCTGCTGAGGTATTTCAGTAAAGGCATGGACAGCTGTTGCATCAAACTGAGCCCAATTTATGTGGCTTCTCATTAGCAATATACCTTTAGCACACACAGCACCTGGAGGAAAAAGCAGTTCCTCATACACATTTCCTAAACTCAAACTACCTTTTCCTTCTTGGATTGCATAGGATTCAATTAGTTGCTCGGTTTGCTGTAAAGTAACTGCTGTTGTCTAAAAGTCTTTGTTGTGATTGGATGTCTGTCACCCTCTGCAGCATAAAATATCAGCACTCTGTCAGCACTAAGCCAGATGTGAGACATAATAAAAAACCATTCGAAGCTCTATTGGAGGATCTGATATCTTCCATGAATTCTATTTCTTCTGCATGTTTGTCAGCACAATGACTGAGAAACTAGCAAACGCATTTTTTCCAGTATCTGTTTCTAAGTTGGACCAACTGTTGTTTTCCTCTGGTGTTTGTCAGAATGCGCTGACCTTTCTTTCAACAAGGGAAAAACTGTTTTCCAATATCTGTTTTTTGAAGTCGTACAAATGCTATCTCAACATATTGAGCTATTTTTCATTCACACACAAACACTAAACCACAGAATCATATCCAACCTTCCAGTAATCTGTATGCTGAACCAGGGTTGTAAAAAGCAGTGTAACCTTTATTAGATAGTTTCACAGTGAAGACACAGTAAGTCTTTGTTTCAACTTGACTGGGTTTTCTTGTCCTTATTCTGTCACCTTATGAGAAGTTGAAGGTTCAGTAAACAAGGTTTTACAGTTAACAGTGATATCACATCGGAGGGAGGGAGAGTAAAGTTCTGGAGGGAGAGCTATTAGGCTCGTTCGAGATGAACTGTGCCTCGCCATGAAAGAGGATGAGATCAGGAGCAGGAGGCGGTGACACAAAGCTGCAGTCAATTTGAAAGTTTCAAAGAATGTACAGGAAGTCACAGAGCTATTTCCATCCTGTTAGATCCATCTGTAGGCTAGCTGTAGTTTGCAGACCACATTTGGATGTACAAAGACATTGTTGTTATTATCATCAATCAGACAGCATATGTTTGTGAACCGTCATGGTGCAACATGAGACTGTTAAGTCTTACAGAAGATGTTTGTGGTCAAAACTAAGAGCCAATCAGCTCTTTGATCAGGAGAGAGCCAGGCGTTTCCTATCATGCCCCAGGTCTTAGAGTCGATGTAGAGGAACCTCGGCCGCCTCGATCTTGTGAGGTTATTGTTGCCCACGCCGTGTGTGCATGGCATCAGAGCAAGTCAGGATCAAGTCGGACACAAATCTAACCGGCGTGTGTTGTGTGGCGATTGCCAGGGATTGGTTCTGTGCAGGCTTTGCTTATCTCAAATGAGCCTATTGTGATAACAGCACCTTAAATTAGGGTGAGGAGTCAGAGTTGTCAGGTGTGTGCAGGTGTGTGATCTGCATCTGGCATGTTATTCTGGGTGTAGTTGGTAAAAAAAAAAAAAAAAAACAGTGTTAGGGATGGAGAATTGATAAGATTTTACTGAAAAAGTAAACCTACACAGGTTTTCAGCGTCAACACAACTGTTATATTATCTCTGAGTCTGAACACAGTGTAGAGCGAGTGTAGTTTGAGTGTGTCGCTTATAAAATGAAGCCATGCTTTGGATCAGTTCCTCTTTTCCGTCATGACTCCTTCTTGCCAGCAGTGTAGGTGTGTGAGTTTGACGTCATTGTTTTGCAATGTGCAAATGTATGAAAAACATGCCGGCATTGTCAAAGGAATGGATAAACTTGGTGGCATACGATGGATCCGATGGATTGGATCATTTGGAAGCGGTTCTTGATTCCCATCCCTAAACAGCTTTGACAGTGGTATTTGACAACGACACATACATACTCAACACTAACACATTGTGCTTGTTTTCTTTGCATGATTACAAGGCACTGACTGAAACATGTTTCTACTAGCGGTCAGTGATTGATCCCTGGGGTGTCTTTAGTTTGTACTTCAGTCAATCAGGCAGGGTAAATTAACCTACTGATAATGTTATTTCATCCCATTTAAAAGGCCACTGGAACCATCTGTAATGTCACAATGATTACAGCCTGCAGGCTGCCTGTAATATCTCTCTTCACAGTACACTGACAGTGACGGAGAGCTTGTGTAGGATTTTCTTTTAAATATAACAAGCAAATCAAACATTCTAATGACTTCTGGGCTGACTTTCACTAGTATCTATACACCACTCGCTGTCACTGTGATCTGTCTTTCACTTTCTGTTGCACATAATCAGTTCTAATGAAGTTGTCTTTATGGAGGCGTCTGCCTTATGGACTCTGACACCTTGTCTCCCGTCTGTCAGCATGGCCCCAGTTAACACGCTGTGTCCAAATAAGCCCGTAACATCTGCTAATAAAGCTCTGCTAATGAGTGTCCTTGTTTAGACTTATAATGAGCAATCATTAAGATCCAGGCTCTCCATACTGCAAGGACCGCAACTCAAGCAATTAGTCAGCTTCCCTCGTAAAGCACGTCTAAGCTTTAAAACTCGGTGCATTGAAGTTTTATAAGGTCTTCAGGCGAACATCAGATTATATCTTTGATGTGGCCAAATCAGTCTAATTCATCATTCAGGTATTGTTTAGTTCTAATAGCATATGTAAAGAAACGACTTAGATTACGGGCAGGTTAATTGTTAAAAAAGAGATAAATACTTTCAAATTAAAATCTATGACTCTACAAAAAGTGATCAATCACAGTTTCTTTTGTCTTTAGGATTAAAATTAGTAGCCTTCAGTAACTGTGAGTCATCAATGTGAGATCTTTTACATATCACATGCCAGTTTATAAAGAGCATTTAGTAATTTCTACTGTTTCTCAGTACAATAGTGTTTAATAATTGATATTTAGTTAATATGTTTCATGGAAATAAAGTCTGAAATCTGTTGTTGGGTCTATTTTCATTATCCATATATCTTCTGATTGTTATTTTTGAATTAATAGCCTTGTATAAAATGTCAAAACTAAATGTAAAACATATTTTAAAATAATTTAAAAAAAATATTAATTAAAGTATTCAGTTCACAATATTTGATAATGAGATAAAGCCAGCAAATCCTCTAATTTGTGACACTGTAATCACCATATACATTGTTAAATGACCTCTGAAGAATGACAAATAATCAAAATGATAACTGTTGTTGATCTGTTGTCAGACATGTAATTAGTTAATCCTTTCAGCACTACAGATATACAGTGTATTCAATAACAGGCGTCCGGACTGTGTGGAGTGATCTTTTAGAAAGGAGACCTGTAATGGTTGAAATTGAAAACCCTCCCTTACTTCCTGTCATATCTTGCAGGTCTTTTCACCCTCCGGGTCCCTAAAGAAACCGCTGGAGAGCACTTTGAAGGGCTTCAGATGCTGACAAGCCTCCTCGCCCCAAAAGGCTCCCGTTCAGCACAACCACTGGTAGAGGACTTAAGCACAGGTAAGTCATTGTTCATGAACCGAAACTCAACCATTTAGACTATGGAGATAGGAAAAATAACACAGGAGGGTTCAGTATTAGTCTAGCTAATTATAACTTCATAACATTTCAGAAGGATGCGGGGAAAGTGCGGGAGATGATGAAGACGAAGATGAGGAAGAATACGACTGGCAGGTTGAGCAGGAGGTGTACAAGGAGAGCTCTGAGGAGGAGCTGAAAGCCCTGCAGAAATATGGCTTCGGCAATCAGAGGTCTGGAGTGTTTGTAAGATTACAGGTGAGGTTACAGATGATGATTACTTCCTGCATTTGATCAGAAAAACCTGCTGAATAGATACTTTCGAATCATGCAGTTAAGATGAAAAGGAGATTTCATATGTTGGGTCTTGTCCTGACAGGAGGAACTGAGTGATGTGACCGATGTCAAGAACCCAGACGGAACGACGGCAGCAGAGAGGAGGCGGGCGCGGCTGGAGGCAGAGGCATCTGCCTTTTCTGCTGACCATTACCTGTGAGTTTATCAGGCAAAACCTCTGACACCCTAAAACATGCTGTCAGCTGTGTGCTAACATCTGTATGTCACTGCAGGGCTGATTTGTTTGAGGATGATGAGATAAAGGGGCTGCTGAAGTTTAGGCCATGGTGGACGAAGCTGAGTCCCTCCACAGAGCAGGAGGAGGAAGCTGGTGAGTTCAATCAACTCTTCATAATCTTTAAAGGTGGGAGCTATAGACTTGTTTTAATCTGAATTGTGCTCCTAGGATCAATCTAACAGTTAGATTTTAAAAAGAACAGTAACATGAATTTGCTTTTTTTATGAAACTCTTCTAGTGAACAGACAAATTCTGTAATAAAAACACAAAACAAAATACAGCTCAATGATTAAACAGACCTTTATTTGTCCTTTTGTGAGATACATAGCACAATTAAAAGTAACCAGCAAAGTAGTGACTGAAGGCTACCAGGAGGTGGCATGAAGTTGCAAAAATTGAGAAGGCAATCATGCATTGTTTGTTAATGTTATTTGACTAAATTAAAATACCCTGGTCGATTGTTTTCTCCTATCCCCAGTAGTGCCATTCCAAAACTTCCACTCGTAGTATTGTGAAGTGAAATAGTGTATATGCTTTCCAAACAGGAATCTGTTGGCTGGGACTTGTGCCTGCAAGGCACTGACATTGTTCTCTGACAATATATTAATCCCCAAAGGACACATGAGTCTTTTCACTGCCCCTTTCTAGTGGAAGGTCAGCTAGAGAGCCACACTGCCTGCCAGAGCGCCTCAGGGCTCTTCAGCAGGAAAGACACTTGCCATTATGAGAGATTGAACTTGGACCTTCCCTAATCACTACATCTCTCTGCTGCCTGTTGACCAATTTAAACAAGAGCATCTGCTGAGTTAGAACGTGACAACTCAAAAAAGGCCGGCATTTATACCTTCTTGTGTTTTCAAATTCAGGTTTTCTTTTTTGCAACCAGCTCCCATCCATTTCAAATCAATGGCCCATTTACTCTGATTGAGACGCACTGCTTGTTGGCTGGAGCCTCCCAGCTTCATTTCTCCGCGCAGCCTCTTGCATAGCAGTGATAGCTCGTGAAGCCTCGGCACTGTGAGAGACTATTTAATTGTGCCATCCGGCTCTCTCTAACAGCCTGCTAATTCCAGCACTTCCACTGTTTAAGCAGCCGTGTGGCTCACAGCCACGGCTTACGTGTAGTGCATGGGTGTCGTACTCTTGAGAGAGGATTTAGATTAAACAGATAGCATTATCACAGGAGGGAGTGCCACTGGCCGTGTCTCCGCCAGCGCGAGGGCCCGATCGCTGACGAGCAGCCATCAATCAGCAATGCAAAGGCCATTAGTTTAGCCTCCGAAGAACCCCACGTTTCCTCGTATCCCCCGGCAGGCTCCCTCGCCTCATTCTGCATTCTAAGACAGAGTGCCTCAGTCGGGAGCCCAGGCGTAGATAAATGGGCCAAATTAAATTTAATGGCTTGATTGACAGGTCGAATAGCATTAGCCCCAGCTGAGTGTGAATGATGGCGTCGGTCAGGAGATTTAAGCAGCTCGCCGTCAAATCTTGAAAGCGCACTCATGATTTTAACAGTTTGTCGTATATTTTAAAATGGCGACCACAACTCCTACATGTGGGTTTTTAGACTTCTACCCCCCACCCTTCACTTCAGCGAAGTCTGATAAATATGTCACCTGACAGATGGATGTGGACACAAGTGCTAATGAAGTAGAAACTGGCCCCTTTGTGCTCTCCAGTGTCAGGGCCAGCACACTGACAGGCCACAGCTGTCCACTGGAGTCCAGCTAAATGGTCCTGACAGCCCAGCCTCTCTCTACCTGCCGCACTTTGTTATGGCTGGGTTGGAAATCTGACCAAGTTACATAGTACTACTGCACTACCCAAGTTTACAGTTTGAGCAGACTGTGTCATTAAATGTCCCTTTGATTTGTTACTTGACACGATCACAGTGTGTGCGTGCGCAAAATGAACCACGTCTGCCATCCAAGGTCACATGTTGGCCTCTTAACGTTTGTGAAATTCTGGAAGCGTTTTCCAACCCTCAGCAGTATTTCAACAAAGCATATTTACTCCATGCCATCAGGCCATCTGGACCTGTAGAGAGCAGTGAAGAGCCAGGCTGCCGTTCCAACTGGAGGAATTAGGTCAGAAATTAATTTGCAATCAGCAGAAGCCCTCATACACTGTGTTGCTAATGCCCATTAGAACTGATTGGCTCCGTAGAGGAGATGAATGAATGTGGTTTTTCGTAAATCTATCAGGTCTGCTCCCCTCACCTCACCGCTCTGGCTGCAGTACTAATAGAAAAAATATGAGCATCATTGAACCACCTTGAAAGAGAGTCTGTGCTCCATTAACCATTTACCTTTTGCATTGTTGTGAATATCAGTTTTTAATTGCAAGATCTGAGCGTGTTCACAACAGACGGCACCTGGAAGCTGCTGAAATCTCCAGGATCACTTTTGTGTGAATGATGATTCACAAAAACACATTTCGAAACACTGCCTTATGTCAACATTTGAACGCCTGTGCTCATATTTTTTAGTGTGCATCCTGGCATTTGTGATGTGTGTGTGTGTGTGTTTGAGAGACACTGGGTGCACATTTGCTTGCATATCTGTTGCTTGTGACTCTGCAAGTCAGCACGATAGGCATGCTTTTAGAAATATTTTCACCTCATCTCTCGACGCGTGTGTCCTTTGTTTTGAAGAAGAGCGGGTGCAGATGGGTGGGTGCACGCGCATGTGGGGCTCTGTGTGTCCATCTGTGTGTGTTCTGCTCGGCTGTGCTCTCCCACTGCAGCTGCACTGACGAGGGACTCAGGTAGCGTCTGCGGGGAGCTAAACCTGACGTAATGCAGCAGGAATCTCCCTACCAGCAGAGCCAAGTTCCCTCTGCAGCCAGGGAGATCATTCCGAAGCGCTGCGTGTGTGTGTGTGTGTATAAATGTATCGAGTTTGTGTATTTGTGTATGTGCTCCAGCCAATACACACCAGTGCTTCTTGCACATCAGGGGCTCAGTGCAGGGACTCTCCTCTCCTCATGCAGAGAGAGGAATTGCTTTCAGCTGTTTTATAAGCTGCTGGGAGGATGAAAAAGAACTGTTGACTTACAGCATGTTCCTGCAGACATTCAGCACGCCTTTTCAATACTGAATGATGCAGATAGCTTAAATGGGATTGAAGTCTGTTTGTGCCGCCCCATTAGGCTTGCCACAGATCCCCATTAAGCAGATGCCTCTTTCAAAAGGCAACAGTTAGTGAATTTGCAGAGACGCAGATTTGAGATATTTTCTGATGATAGAACTTCAGATTTTCTGAATGCAAAGCCATTCAGCTGTCAAACACATGTAAATGGGATTGGCTTTACTAATTTAATGTAGGCCTATTTTGCTTACGCTCCTCGCAGTTTGTTCACGCTTATTTTCAACAACATTATGCCACACAGTCCGACTGAAACTCATCCGCAGCTGGACAATTGATACAGTTATATTACCATAGTAATGGCATTTCAAGGTCGGACTATGACACTGTGACACTTGCTTGGTAGCGTTCATGAGATTTGGAGAAGGCGTCCGTTTCATTGCATTACTGTAATCATCAGTTTGTGAGCACACAGGCGCTCCCAGATAGACATGGTGAGAAATACCTAAATCTGTTTTTCCTGTTCCCACTAAAACATGAGGTTGGTGAGGTTTTAAATTGATCCAGTCTTTAAAAGTTCAATTTCGGGTGTGAAACCACTGGTTTAGTGTGGATGGAAGGCCAACAGTGAGGGAAAATTATGATTTTTTTTTTTCTGATTTAGTCAGCTTAGCATAAGTGGACACTAAACCTACTTTTTAAAGCTGTTTTTATCACAGCTCTGCCATAATGCAACAAGATGAAAATCGTGCTTTGTATTTCCAACCTGTGACTGAAGTGCATCCTAAAATGATGATGTTTTGGTGGTAAAAAATAATAAACTCTCTGTCCTTATGTCAAAAATTGAAATAAAACACCTTTCTGTAAAATCCATGTCCCTGTGCAGCTGTATCATTCACCGACGACGAGAAGGAGCAGCTGAGAAAATTCACCAACCGTTCCTACCTGCTAGACAAGGCGTCCCGTTACCAAGTGTGGCTCAGCCTTGTGGACATCCTGCTGGCTCATTCCTATGAAGTGCGCTCTACAGAGGGAGAGCACAATGTGAGTGAGTGAGTGTGAGTGTCTGTGTGTATGTTTGTTTGTGTGTGTTGTGTGTGTGTGTGTGTGTGTGTGTGTGTGTGTGTGTGTGTGTGTGTGTGTGTGTGTGTGTGAAGAGGCAACTCCTCTGAGCAGCACTTAGCCTTGGATGACAAAGCCCTCTATCCTCAAATCCTTTAGACCCCCTTCCATTTCATTCAGAGCCTTAAGAGATTACCAGCAGATCCGAGAGCTCAGTCCAGGCCTCTTTGTGTCACTCCCCTAAGGTAGCTGCAGAAAGGCAAGGTGAGCGGGGCTGATTTCATTGTTAAAGACGGTTCACAGCATGTGTGAATGAAATAGTAAAGATTTGATGCAGCGGAATGTTGAATTAAAGAACAAAAATCATATGCGAACCTTTGAATTTCTATATGGGATACTGTAATATGGAAGTCTGCTGGTTTATTTCAGTTCGTGTGTAACCCGCTCTTTACTGTGAACAGTCATCTGAGCACCTACTCTCCAAGCTTTTGTCCAAGCAGAATTAATTGCACTGTATATTCTTGTAGTATTTCCTGTCTCTAATTGTTCCCCTTCCTCCCCGTAGGTAGAGTCACCGTGGACTATCAGAAAGCTCAGCGGGACTCTCTGCTGGCTGGAGGTGAGTCAGTTATTACTCAACGAAATTAGATGAACTGCAGAGAATGATTTACTCTCACATGCTTACTTACTTGTTTATTTAATAGGGACAGTGCACTTAATTAAACATTATTTTAAATGTGCCAGAGCGCTAATTAAAGACTAGCCAGGAGGCACATTTTTATCTGCCATCCCTGATCAGATGTCCACTGACTCTTCGCCTACAGCGCTTTTACGTTGCTTAAACAGTGGAAGTGCTGGAATTAGCAGGCTCGCTTTTGTGCCTTTTGTGGCTCTAGAAGGAGCTGTATGAAAGCTGATAAATTGCCTCGAGTGATGTCACTTGAGTCAGCGACAGTTGGGGCTGAAGACTACAAATTTGAAAATGAAAAATATCTGGAGGTGTAGAGTACAAAGAAGAAAGCTTACCAGACCTCTGTAGTCTGCTTCTCACCTCTGTTTGAGGCTAGCAGCTTGAGGCTACATTAGCTAGCTAGCTACTACTCCGCAGTTGAGTTGCATTGTGGGCAATGTAGGTGTCAAGTTTTACAAGGAATAAGAAAAATGTGGAATAAAAAAAATGATATCTGTGGTTGTGCTGCATTGATTTAGATAAAAAGTTCTCTTTTATTTCATGCTGCACTGTGTGGATCCGCTTCTGTTCCCCCCTGCTCATATTTCTACTTTGAATTTGTATGTATTTTTGCTGCATCTAAGTATCTCTTACTGTTTTATAATGCAACTGACCAGCAGCCTTAACCTTGTGCTTTTTAAATAGTTTGTGGACCACTAAGGGTGAGATCCAACAGATGGAACTGGTTTCCATCAAGTTACAAATATGTAGTCTGAGTACAGGTTGGTAGGAGAGCTGGCATGCCACTGTTTCTGACCACGCAACCTTGTCTGGAGTGTCTTTATCAACCATTCTTGTCGGCAATAAGATTTCTGCTGTCTGTGGGAACTGAACCTGTTCTGTACCCGAGTTTTATAGGCTGCTATTTTCCATCATTTAGATTTCAGCAAATCTAAATAAGGACTAAATACATGCCCAGTTGCCGTGGTAGGGGGACAAATATGTAGACAGTTCATGGACACAGGGAATTGAAATGCATGTCAGTGCCAGACATAAGATTTTTTGAGAATGTAGAAGTCCAACAGAGTACAGAGGTTTGCTCTTTATCTTACAGAAGCAATTATTTTATTCTTTAACTACGGTTTATGTTGGCAAAGAACTGCTTGTAAGACAAGGTTGTTTTAATAATGTGAGTGTGTCTTCTTTTCTTTAGCTAGCAAAGAAAATATTTTATAAACCAAAGGACAAGGAGTTTGTCTACCTTATTCTGCCATTATTTTCTGCAGTTTGTATTTTAGACAATCAGACAAGCTTTATAAAAACACTGAAGTGTGAATCTTAAAATAACAATGTGAATATGACGAAGAATGTCATAACAAGAAACAGTAGCTCAGCTCCTCTTTTATTATCCTCTTGTAATCCTTAGACTTGCGGTTGCCTCTGATCACGGCTCAGCATCCATTGAACAAACCTGTTTTGACTGGCGTGTAGGCTGGATGTGTTATAGTGATTAGAGAGGTGAATACCGGTGTCTTTCACACATACACACATGGTTTCCATCTAAATATGTTGACAGTTGCATCAGTGATTTGAAGACACATTATAGGCACGAGCTGATTTTTAAGAAATTCCCATCACTGACTCTGTGAAATAATGTCCATGCTCTATCCATGTCACTAACATGGGCTTTCAGTGAGAATTACAGGGAGTTAATTGTTAGACCTGGGTTCTGTACAACAGCAGTAACAGGTGTTCCCAATTCAAAGAGCAAATGATAGGGTGTGTGTGTGGTCTGTCTGCTCACAATCGCCACCAGACAATCAGTTGAGTGTGTGGTGTGCGTGAATGGCATCAGAAATAGGAGTTTGCTGATGTTGTCGAACATCTTGGCCCATGTTCACGATAGGAGAACACTGTTTTAAAATAGTTTTTGTGTCCAACTGGGTTCCATTCACACTGATGTTGTCAGATAATTAAGTTTGCTTTCCACATTGACATGTTAAAACAGCAGGAAATCATTAAATCTCTCCCTTGTCCTGGAGCTGGTGATGGCTGCATCTAGGGCAAGTGATTGATTTTTAGTATTTCTTTATTGTTAAACAACCAATTCAGTTGTCATGGTTTCAGTTTTGTTTTTATGCCTCTGTGCCACCGACAACCAGGGCTATATGCATTATGTTTTAAGGTCCGTCCATCCCATATGTTGTCCGTTCGTCTTGCGGAAATTTCTTTAACTTTGGCACAAACGTTCACTTGGACTCAAGAATGTGCTGGTTTGAATTTGGTGTATAAAGGTCATGGTCACTGTGGCCTCAAAAAACACCCCATAATTAGGACAAATTTTAATACAAATGTCTGATTTAGCTGATATTGAGCTTCAGGTGACTGTCCCTACACCGTTGATGAAGCGCTCTATGAGTCCTCTGTATTCTATGAAAGTAGTCTAAAAGTTTCTTACTGGAATCATGCCATTGTCATTATAGTGATAACCTCATTTTGTCAGAAAATACACTTAATACATATATATATATATATATATATACATATATTATGAGTCTTGACTGTTTGGCGGAGGCATTCAACTGCGTGGTGGTAATTCTAGCTGTTTTTTAGATGCCTGCACAAGTAAAAAATAAAGGTTTATTCTTCATTGTAACCATACATACAGGTCAATTTTGACTGTTCATACCAAGAAGCAGGTTCTGTTGAGTAATTCAGATAACTTTGCTGAGTAAAACCTGGAAAAGGTTTGTTTCATGTCAGCCCTTGTTCTAGATTTGAGGAGGTTTCACATTTTACTCTTACTCTTACATTAAATTCAGATCCAGATTACTGTGGAAAAGGGCTTCTTGGAACAGGGCCCTGAACTGTGAGAATATATTGACACACAAAATGAATGATCACAGGGAGATTTGGCTTCTTACCATTTCTGAGATATAGTATCTTTACAGGTGTAGTTTTGTCAAACAGTGTGGTTTTTCTTTCTGTGCTGCATCGCTGGGGTGTTGTTTCAAATTTCTCCACTTTAGGCGGTTTAGTGTGGAGCTCAGATTGTAGAGCAAGCTATGCATTTGCAGGAAGCGGTAGAGGAAGTGGTAGCCCCTAATCACCACATTGTGGCAAATAAGGCTTCAGAGCTCTGTATGTATCCACATACACCCAGATTACACGTAGATCTAGTTACTATAAACTGTGGGTCACACTCCCAGAATGCATCTCATGCAAAGCTGGATTTGTAGTGGAAGCAAGGGGTTAATTGGAGGCCCACAGCAGATACCCATGGCACATGTTTGCTTCAAATGTTGATGGCACCCTCACATGACTAGAAGGATGTACCACACATGATCGGTTGCGTCCTGCTATTCCCACAGTGACTGTGTTTCACTTATAGGTTTGTGATACAGACTAATGGTGGGCTATGCACGTACTTGTATAACTGGAATTCCATCCAGGTGACTATTTCACCAAGTCTCATTACTGACTAAGAGACTGCTTCCTTACAGTCACTGGGCTCTATCTTGCACTCAGCGAAATTGACTTTGTACACTGGCGCTTGTATAATTCCTATTTTGCACTCAACGCACATTGGAATTTTCCCTCCACCGACGCACGTCCTTAAATTAGGGAATGAACTTGCGCTCCGGGGGGCGGTTCAGCGAAAAGAGGAGGCGTGTTCCGGCGCAAACGTTCCCTGGTGCTATTTTGCTGTTTCAGAAAACAATTCCGCCACAGACCAGGAAAAACCTAGTCTAAAGTCAGTGGCGCTTATTCAGATGCTATTTAAGGCCGCAGACTTGAGGGGATGCACCTGAGAGGCAGCAGCAACATCGCCACCCGGTCAAGACGGGCATTAATACTTTGCCGCATCCCGGAGAGCTCCCGCTCCAGCATGTCAGACCCGGTTTGCTGCAGGAACGGGTGGTCCTCCGGCGTGTAGTGGGTCTGGATCCTCTGCACCTTGGTGTTTGCGCTGCTCCCTCCTCAGCTGGCCCTTGCGCACTGCTCGGCCCGTGCGCACTGCTCCCGAGGCCAGGGGCTTCTTCCTGCGAAGCTGCGTTACATTGTTTGGATTTATAGTATGGCTGTGTTATATTTATTTCATGTCAATAATGTCACTTCTCGGTATTTCACGGCCCTGACGAGAACGTCGGTCTCCCCGGCTGTGAACCCCCCCCGCCCCCCCCCGTTATAATAGCAATCCGCCATGAAACAAGCACGCCTGCTTTTAAAGGGAATGTGAGATGACGCTCTGATTGGTTTATTGCACGTTACGCCCAAACCCCACCTATGACTAATGTAGCTACTTCAGACCAACCCATTTTAGATTTGCACCGGACGCAAGAGTCATTTATCCCGCTGGCATAATAGCAACAGCGCCCGAGATCCGCCCACAAAGCTACTTGCGTTTTGCGTTTGATACTTGCGTTTCAGATCGGCAAGATAGGGCCCACTATGTTTATGTTCATTTACTCACTGTGATACAGAGCAACATAAGTTTTCAGTAAAGATGGTAACATCTTCATTATCAACAATCTCAGCAGGTATCAGATACACAAGCAGCCAATCACAGTTCTTGTAGTTTTTCTCATTCTGTATTCCCATTTTATTTTTTTCTTTAAACAATTGCCTCAATTTTACTGATCATAGAAACACAGGACTCTCGGATGATTCAGTCATACAGGTTCATGGTATGGCCATCAGTTTGAATTATTTAACTTTTTAGGAATCAGTGTGACGGATTGTGTTTTCATTTTTCCATTTGCCATTAGCACGTAACAAAATGTTGGAATTAATTGATTGAAATGTTTCTTGCCAAAATGCACCTTGAGAGTCACACTTAAGGTCTACCTCAAAATGTACCTTCGTCTTTTTTACCAAAGAAGCAGATATTTTCCGACGTTGCTCGTACTCCTTTGTAGTCACATTTGTGAGTAGGTGCATGTCGGCCAACAAATACCGTCAATCATGCTTAAATCTCGACTGACTGACAACCCAGGCGTGGTGCTCAATATGGACCTCTGCTGTACTTTATTCTATTATTGTTGGTGCTCAAGAGGGTTGTCATCGCCAGTTCTTTCACGCTTTCAGTGACAACAGTTGTGCACGAACACATACATCTGCTGACACAGATGAGGCTGTTCAATAGACGATCCTTCATTAATGTTAGGGACACATTTGAGCTCACACTAGTGTGTCCCAGAGCACCTACAAGTATTTGTTGAGTGATAGCATCCCAGAGTGTCCTCATTACATGTCAGGCACACATGGTCACCACTGATCGAATCACCGGAGACACATTTCGTTGCTAATTATAAACAAGCCGAAGAGGATGCTTCAAGGAGTTTGGTTACCTACACCGTGGCCACAGTTTGAGAGATAGTACTGTTTCCTGTTGTGGTGACAGTGGAGTAAAGAACAGTCTTCACCTGCCTGGCATCCCTTTACTGCTCGTCAGTCAGTCAGCAGAGCTGTCAGCTCCTATTGACAGGCCACCTCGCTCAATGCCTGTCTACCCCTCCCCCTCCTACTCCTCTTCTTCCTCCTCCTCTTCCCTTCACCTTGTGCTCTACAATAGATTCTTCTCTGTCTTTGACTGCCTGTCTGTCTGTGTGTCACAGCTAAAATCAGCTCTGCTCCCTCACTCCATTCTCCCTCTCCACTATCTCTCTTTTATGTTTTTGCTGTCTGTCTGTCTGTCTGTCTGTCTCGCCTCGCTTCTGCCTAACATTCTCCTTCCCCCTACCACCTTATCCCACCGTCATCCCCTCTCCCCCTCCTTCCATCTGCTGCATGTTTACTTGTCCTCAGTCGACTGCGCTGGTGTGACTGTGAGTCCCCCCCTCCACAGCAGCAGACCTTATTTACACTCCTGCTAAACAAGCCCAAGGGAGAGCATGATCCCCGATGACACGCACTTCCAAGCTCGCAACACATCCTTAACAAGCCACAAAGAAAAGAAAAGAAAGAGAAAACACGGGATAAAAATCTCTGTTTCTGTCTCCAGGCTGTGTGTCCATTAGTGCAGAGAAAATCTGAGAGCGAAGGCTGTGATTAAAGAGAAGCAGCAATTAACAGGCCAGGGTTGCAGAGGTGTTTAAGAGTTGTGAGCCCCTATTTTGCCAGCTCTATAAATGAGGAGTTGTTAGGAGTAATTAGCACACCAGCAACTGCAATGCACACCAATGGGGGCCAGTCTTCAACCTAAGGAAAACGGGGAAAAAATCCTTCCTGCGTGGAAATATGTGGCTGAACCAAGCCTTTTACGGCTGCAGTTATTTTCATTATCGATTAATTTGGTCCAAAATATCAAAAAATTGTGAACAATGTCAATAACTGTTTCGCCTAAGGTGAAGCCTCAACTGTCTTCTTTTGTCCACAAACCATAGAGGAGTAAAGAAAGTTTCCCTTTCCTTCTCTTATTGAATAAAACATTTTTTTGTGTTGGATAGCTTTCTGAGTTGTCCGTTCTCGTGTTTTTCAGACGTACAGCTCTGTGCAAGACGTTCTGGTGTCATTTGGACGGAGGGTTTTGTGCTACCCCCTCTACAGACACTATGCCATGGTCTCCGCGGCTGTTCGTGACACAGCTAAGATTTTGCAGTCAGGTGAGTCTCCTAGAAGCACTAAAACACCAACCCCCCACACACACATTGTTGAGAGTAAGCTGCTAATAAAAAGACAACCAGCATTCTTTCATGGTAGGCTGCCAGACAGACACAGAGTTTGGAGAAAGTGGTTCATGAGCACACTGCTACGTTGTGTTTGAAAGTCAAATTCCACCAGCTAAGCAAGAGTGGCCCGACTCCCACCTCCTCAGGGAGCGAAATGCGGATTAGCCGAAAACGGACTGTTGACTTTGATATCTCAAAGCCCAGAGTAATCTTTAAATCAAAATCCCCCCCGGACAGATGAAACTGCAGTGTTAACACACGCAGGATGTGTGAGGGCTACGATTATCCAGCTTGTGATGATTTTAACGGTGGTAAATGACAGCAAATTAAAGGCCTTTTTAAGCTCCAGATTAGCATTTCTGCGCCTCATTAAGTAGGAAAATTAGTTGATCAGGAAAGCCAGGGAAACTGAAGTTGGAGCCGCTCCTTTCTCTCACCTTCTTTCTCTTTCCTCCGAAACACTTTTTCTGCCATAAAAGTTTCTCATGTTCATCCGGAGCCTGGAAATAGTTTCAGTGCTTATGACAACTCATACAACATCTTAATTTGGCTCTTCTTTGTCCAAAAACAGCCAACTGATATGTTTATGTATGCTGTCAGTGTAAGGAGACAGGCTAATTATTTCACTATTATTTTTTATAATGTTCACGACTCATAACCTTCATTATTTGCAAGCATTAGGGAAGTATGAGTAATAAGGCTTTTCCCTAATGAACTGTAACACTACAGTAATTTGGCCTGGCGTGTGTCTGAGGGTGTGTTTCCTCTCAGCATTACTTTACACACTAATTAATTTGTCAGGATAAAGCAAATGGAAATGCACGCTCCATGTTTGAGGCACTTCGTTTAAGTGGCTGTGAAAGCAAACAGTCATAGGTATTAGCAAAACAAACCCATTAATGGCAGCGAACAGGTTAGGGCCTCGGAGGAAATGTTATCCGGGGGTAAATATTTGAACAGCCCTCTGGCAGCGTGGCGAGTATTCTCAAGGAGCTCCTCCACCTGCCTCCTAAGTGGCTGTAACTAAAGAGCTACTGGGCAGGTACAGAAGAGCAGAGGGGGGCCTGGAGTGAGGAAGTGTGGAGGAGGACCTCTGGGTCTTGCCGCTGTCACGATTGGACTGTCAGGACAAGACAAGAAATGTCAGATGTGGTCCTCTGTTACAGATCCATCCAGCATGCTTCCATCTGCTGTCATTCATTCAGGCACATTTTAGGCTGGTAGTGGCATTTCTTCAGGAAATCTGAGAGCGAGGGCAGGGAAAGTTTGGCAATTTAATCTATGGGAGTCAAGCACTCTGACCTAGTTACAGCAAATGAACGTAGAGTATTTTACAACCAGGGCAGGGTGTGAACACTTTAGATTCAGGGTAGTGATGGTGTTTTATTGGATGTGGTGCATGGATTGTGTATGTGTGACAGAGAAAAAAAGGAAAAGACTGAATGAGAGCAGGGTGTCTGTAGGGTCTTTAAAAGTCTTAAATCCTTAATTTTAGGCCTTACAACTTCCTATAATTTTGGTCTTACAATTTAATTGAATTAATGAAGTACGTGTTTACGTGTTACATTGTTCATTTTTGCTTTTAAATGTGTTTCTGAGAAATATTTGCGTTGATCATTCTGTCATGTGAAAAGGTCTTAAATTGAACCTGTTGAACCCTGCAGAAAACCTGGTATAGTATAAAAAGATTCTGCTAATGAATGCTACAATATGTGCATTAATTTTAACTAAATGTACTAAATTGCTTCACATTAGACCAGACACTGGATGAAGATGTGCCTCTCCCACCTTTCAAGCACATTATCATCAGTGGTAAAATCAGACAAACACAGGACTCTTCCTGTTGCTTTTCCTGACTTCTGAAAGCTACCTCTGTTCTTGCTCTCAGAAGCTGAAAAGCGAGAGGAGAGAATATAATACTCACCTGAATCAAAAACCTTTAGCTCTCACATGTCAGGAAAGTACAAGTAAGGGAGATCCCCTATTCCTTATATTATTTATTTTATCAATGGAAACCACAACTCAGGCAGTAAGGTAGTCTTTAGTCATTAAACCAATAAGAATATATTCTATGCATCATCACATTTGTCTTTTTGCAGATGATGTACTTTTATTTTTGTCCGAGGTGCAGCAGTCCTATTATTTGTGAGATTTTGAAAAAGTGTAACTTTTAAGTTAAAAACTCAACTGGACAGAATCTGTGTGATGTGGGTATGAACCACAATATTCCAGTCTTTCTCATTTTAAATATATATTCCTTTTTAGAAGACACTGTTAGAAAGAATTCTACTCAAATAACGAATGCTGTTCAAAGAGATGTGGGTAGCAGAGGCAGGATTCCAATCATTAAAATTAATATTCTACCTAGAAAAGATTTTTACAGTTCCATCTTGTTGTTGTCCTTTCCAACAAAGCACTGGGAACATTTACATAAAATAATCTCTCAGTTCATATGGAAATGCAGACATCTCAAAATGAAATCGAAAACATATAAACTAACACGCTCAGCAGATATTTGGTGTAAGGCTGAAAAATGACATCATGTGATACAGATTCCAAGTTGGATGATCTTTAATGTTATACTGTATACTATATATATACTGTCAGTATCATTTTTGATTATATTATGAATTCTCAAATATGACAAATATGATTATACCTATACAAATGTGTTGGAATAAAGCAAGGAATAAAGCAAGGAATAGGGAGAAAAAAAATGTTTGTCATTTTCACTTTGCTGCATCTGCTGTTTTTGGAATCTCTACATTTTTGTGTAGACACAACAGGCTTTGTTTTTGGTCCCCTTCACACCCACCACTACATCTATGCAAGCCTGCTCATTCAGCAGCCATGAAAGAATTACTGTTTTACATTTGGATCTCACTAATTTGGATTCTTCTTTCCTCATTGGACCTGCACTTGCCCAATTAACACACCTTGCTCACATCACACTAAGAATATCAGCGTTCAACTGGTGCAGGGAGAAACCTTTCCTCTGATTTTCTGCAAACCACTCATGAATCTTCCTTGTGAAAAAGAAGCCAGATCTTGGAAGCCAGTATATTTTTGCCTTACATGATCCAAGTTCTGAGTTTGAGGGCAGAGTTCCCTGCATACGATCCCATGCTTAAATGAGAACCAAATGTTTGTTTAAGGTTTTCCCCACTGCGAGTGCGCTGTTTATTTTGATTGGGCTGGAATGTCTCTGGACAATGCCAACCAGCTCCGCAGAGGTGGAGAGGAGCATTTTCTCTTGCCCTCAGTGGATTGTTGGCCACATCATAAAGCTATTTATATGCCTGATTGGAAGGAGAAGTGCTGTGGCAGTTTGGCTTGTTGTACACTTCTGGGGAAACGTAATTTGTCAGAATAACAAATGGAGATTCATCTGATGCATTCGTGGCGCTGAAAGCTGCAGCATGCTCGCTAAAGTGATCTCATAACATATTTCCAAAGTGCGGGTGTCAACCATAAACCATGTCATATGAACCGTAACAAACAGCTCCCACTATTTAATAGATACACATTTTTGATAGTTTACATACTTTGGCTGGCAGATGATTTATTTAAATTATGATTAAGCTCAAATCTTGTGTAATTAATTGCATACTGCATCACATGCTGACAGATACCACAGGGAATTCTGCACACAAAATCCACATTAACTTGAGACAGTTAAAGATAAAGTTAAAAATGGAATAAAGATTAGTGCAAAGATAAGTAGATGTATATATGCATTAAAACTATGTAGTGTTGTATACTTCTGGTGGGTGTAAACAAAACTATAATCTGCACTGTGTATTTAAGTTGTTAAGACATCAGTTCACCCCAGTCCCCAAAGAGCACATATTTCCTCACTAGCATGTATGTGGTATCTAACTATGCGGAGAGTTGCGGTTTTATGTGCCAAGGTTTTGAGATATTCATCTCGATTTCTGCTGCCTCCGCCCAATTCCATTGAGGTGAATTGAATTTGGTTTGTGGTGCTCAAAGCAAAAACAATGGAGTTTCATAAACCGCACAAATACATCTTCATTGGCAGAAGACATTTGCATTCAGCCTGAGAGTGGGGGAACAAGCTCAAGCTGTTTTTGTTTTTTAGACTGTAATTATTGCCGTTAACAGCACCACGAGTAATTAGTGCTAGTCAAAGTCATGAGTCCCAATCAAGCTTAAGCCCAGTAGTATAACATTTGTCTAGCTGGGCCATTTCCAAAGTTTTCAATGGCTTATTCAAACAGCAGGCTCCACCAGTAGCTCTGTCCATATTTCAGACCACATACCTATTCTAAGCAGATTTTGAGCTGTAGTGTATTCACACTAGAGTGGCAAAATTAAAGCAGTGTTATTCACAAAAAACAGACTTCTACCCTAGAAAGCTTTGACAGCTTGATACTCTCCATTTAAGACCGGACAGGGTTTTTAGAAAATGATTTTCTTGAGCGTTTTATAGCTTCAAGCTGTGTAGTTAAGTGACCTGTTTTGGAAAAAAACACTCCAGTTTATTACTTTGCTGGATTGAATCATTGATGTCTGTAAAAATGTTGAATCAGAGCTTCAGGTTTGTAGGATCGAAAGCAAAATGGATTCAGATTAGGACTATAATGATGATGCACAATAGCTGAATGGGCAGACTTGAATAGCTGTCAAGTGGAAAATCATCAAAAACATTCAGTGCTATTTTTTGACAGATCAAGGCAAACACATTTCTGACAGAAAGTCTGAGCAGAGCCACCATTAAATTGACAGAATGAATGCCAAAAATAGAGTTCTCTTCTTTGGCTCTTTTGTCTCAGTTGAACCACTTCTTAACCAGGAACTCTTCTTAAACCGTATGGATCAAATTACTCTGCAGCTTGCTGGGATTTTCCTCTGATCCTGTACCTTGGCTTTTATGTATGGAACAATGACTGCGAGCCTTTAGATGCATGCTGTGTCTGCCAGCAGCTGGAGTGCATTGTCATCCTTAATACTGAGCGCGAATATAACACTGTTTTTCCATTTGCCTGCCACGGTGTGTTCCTGTGCCCAGGGAAAGCCTGCGTCCTCAAATGCCTGCTGGATATTCACAAAGTCTTCAGAGAGAACGACCCGGCCTACATACTGAACGATCTGTACATCACAGATTACTGCATCTGGATCCAGAGAGTCAAGTAAGTTCACCAACACACACTCATAAACCCATGCGCACACGCCTCAGAGACCTTCATCTTCAGAGAATTACCTTTAGATCCAAGGGAAGTGCCACTCAGGCCCCTGTGATGCATCAATGCTTTAGAGGAGAGGATTGGACGAGTCATTTGTCACAGCAGGGCCAGTTGAATGACCAAGCCAGCGAGAGACGCAATCTCCCTCGTCTCCATTATCCTGTGTCAAAAGTACCATCAGTGAGTCTTAAAAGAGCCAGCTGCACTCGGCAGATTCACTCTGCATGACACTTTTTAAGAGCGCACACGTGTGTGCTGAGGCCCCTCATATCTTCCGTGGGTGTAGCCCTCCACCATAGCAGCGCAAGCCAAACATGCAAAACCTGCACCTTTTCTCCAAATGATATAGGTTTGATGGGTCTCTCCTCCTCCTCGTACATATTTTGCAATTACTTACACATTTCAAATGTGAGCCTGCGAGCACATTACTCAGTAATGAGCTCTGTTTTACTCTTGGCCAGAGTTCAGCCAAGTGGTGTGCTCGTCTGGAAAAAGCCCAGTTGAAAAATGTGTGCCTGATGTTGTAGGCTCGGCGCCCAGATGCAGACACGATAAAAGGTCTGCAGGGATTTAGCGCCCCCCTTCCCCTCCCCATGCACATCCACACCCCCACATACATTCTCATTTCTACATTTTTCCAGCAGAAATCTTGAATTCTGCTCCTAAAAATGCTACGGACGCTGGTGATCTTAATGGGTGTGAAAATCAATAGCTCTGTTGAGGTTGGTGGGATCACAGAGAAGACACAATTTTAAAGGCTTTCTATCTTACTGTGTAAGCACATAGGGCTCCTGCAGCTCTGTCAACTCACTGAAAAACTCAATCAGTCTTGTTTCAGCTGAGAAGCACCAGAGCACTGCCTCCCTCGTACTCCCTGCTCCTCCTGTCTTTTCCTCCGCTGTACTTTGGAACTAAATGTCAGTTTGACCTAACATGCTGACTCTTACTACGTCCTGCATCGATCATTTAATGGATTAGTCCTTGCTCTCGTAGCACTGACCTGCGATTGAGTTGTTTCCGTTTTCTGTTTGGTTTTTTTTCTGTCAATAAAAGAAATCAAGTTTACAATTGTTTAAGCTTCTCATGTAAGTTGCCATGTTGTAAAAAAGACATTCGGAGTAGTAAAACCACTTCTATCACCTCCTACCACTTGAAAGAGCAACCAGTAGAAATTCCATTCAGTCTTTGCTTGTGGTTCCATTTGTTCTCATGTTTGGAGTGTAATGTTAAAAGGAGCTTACAGTCCAAATGCAAAGCAACACAGGGGATTCTAGTCCTGCAGTTTCCACAGACCAGCCTTCGTTATCATACATGCCGTCTGTTGTGGCAGCCCTCTTGTGTTGTCTGACAGGTTTGATGACAGATCGTGTAGGCATTGTTTTCTTCTGTGCGAGATACTCCCCTGTGCGGGGTTTGTCATCCTTCGCTAAGTGAGTCGTCTCTGGGAGCCGAGCGGTAAGATGAGATGTAATCTATACCCCCTGGTGCAGTCCCTGTATCTTGTCGCTTCTCGCAGTCGACAAGGCAGACGCCATCAGCTGCGCATGATGGACACACCGATTAATGGATGTTTGCTGGCTGGAGGGTTGATTTATTTAATCTCTTCGCTGTCCCACGTGCATTTCTGCTCCTAAAGTTTGTCTGACTGCCGAGACATCAGTCTCAAATTTACAACCTCGTAAAGACTTCACCGTGATTTAAGCCACAGGGCAGGCGCTCCCCTTTACTCTCTCACACACAGTCAGGGCAAAACCCTGCACATTGAAATCTAAAGTGTAACCCCAAAATAAATACACATTGTCTCAGTGATGTGGAACTTTATTTTTTCGCCACCGTGGTCACCATCCCAGAATTTAACGCACGCTTCTTTTGTGTTTAAAGCCTCACACACCCATCCAATCCTAATTATCTCCGAATTGTTAGCCCAGAGTATTATTCCAAATGGAGCAGCAGCCTCTCCAGTCCATTAGTTTCAGGGTATGCTTTTGAAGGTCCTCAGATGCCAAAGCCCCTGCAGAGCTGCTGGACTGCAGAGAAAACGCGAGTCGCCTCACTTTTCTCTCTCTTTGTCGTCTTTCCCTTTATCAAAAAGCTTGGAGAGAGGCCAACGTAGATTCACGGCAGCCAGCACAGACAAAGCCTGTAAGCCTGGTGTTGTGTTACATTGCCTCAGTTAAATCAGAAGGGCTGCAACTTCCTCTTCCAGCGCTGGCTCACGTGCAACCAACCACCCACCCACCCTTATTAATTGGGTCAATTAGATTCCAGGAGGAAAAAAAAAACATGGCAGCGTACTAGTGATGTGCTCCAGGGTTCGTCTGAGAGGAGGGCAGTGAAGTGAGATTCATGTTTCCATATGAAGTCATTAGTGGAAAGGGAAAAAATTGCTCGTGCATGTTTTTTTTACTTTTGTGGAGTGAATTTGTGACTTGTCTATAAGATGTGTGACTTGGACAATCACACATTGATCCAGACACTGGAAAATTGACAAGAAATGGGTTTGGGACAAGCCAAGCCTCGCACCATAACAGCTGAATGGACCGACTCAATTGTAAAAGGGAAGTGTGAAGTGAGCAGGGTGTTGTTTTCACTCAAGAAATAGTGTGTGCCACACTGCATAAAAAATAACAGAGCAAACTGTCAAAAATGAAGTTCTAGACTTATTTCTGAGACCAGCCCTTTTACATACTCTCTTCCTCTCTTGTCCCATTCGTCTTCAGCATTGTGTGCATGATAATGGTCGTTAGGGAGAGTCGGCATCTCTGACAGCCGCTCCCCCGCAGGGAAAAGCATCTGCAGCTCAAACAACTGGGAACGTCTCAGGGCAACAAGGTCAAGCATGGGGGTCAGCGTGTCGGCGTGTCGGCGAAGACCTGCGGTCAAACGCCTTGAAAATGCACTTGGGCATGGTGTCAACACCCATCCCCCCCTGTAGAGCATGGCTGGTCAGTTCACCTCAGTGCACCTCTCTGTGTGATTATAAAGCACAAAGCTCTTATTACCCAGATTTTCCCATCGGCTACTTAATGTGATAGGTGTTTTCATTTTACTTGAACTCAGGGGCTTTTCCCGCAGAATTAAAATTAGGTGTTGCAGGCTGTGTCTGTGGTTTGACGCTCCTCGCGTGGAAGAAAATGAGGATTGTCTGGTAGCCGAGCCTGGCAGCTTCCTGGTGTTCCCCCTCAACCACACAGCTGATGTTACAACCAGATGTTTGCTGGGAAGGACCACCAGGCAGCGTCACGCAACTGTCAAACGCCCGTCCTGAAGCCTTTGAAACAGATAATGGAGCTGCTCTATCTGATGTTAGCCTCAGCACTGAAGGAGATCCTAGAGGCCCCGCTGGGGAGAACAAAGACACAAATGTCTCCCAGCTCACAGGGATAAGTAGTACAGATTTCCTCCCAGCAGGCAGCCACTCCAGCGTTTTGTCTTGAGTACACAAGCTCATCTTAAACACAGACTTTGCATAATTTCCTCTATCCGTGTTTGGAGTGCCCACTCTAGTTATTACAATCAATTATAGCGTAGGGATTTTTTCTGTCTTTTCAGCCTCAAAGGGCTGTGCATCCAAACGGACGCTAATTAATTAACTCCTCGTCATTTCTGCCGCTTTTAGAGATATAGATGATATATTAACAGTTGAATACGACGCAGACAGACTGAATAACTATTAATACAATTTCTCAGGGATTACATCAATCAAAATGTGGAAAAGTAGTAAAGAACTTAAGATAGTTTGTTGTAAAGATCACAGCAGTAGAGGGTAACTCAGACCTGAACATTGTTTTAAAAAAAAAAAAAAAAAAATATATATATATATATATATATATATATATATTTCAGTTTCAAACCTGAGGGCTTTGGCTCTTTTGAGCACAGACCACACCAAAACCTGCAGTGGTGAAGATACTGTCAGCTGATAAATATTTAATCTCGACTTTTAAACTTAAGCGATGATGTGGGAAATACAACATAACCTTATCAGTTGAGGCTTTTTAGGAATCCTCCCACATTCCTTCTTACGCTGTACCAAACCTTGAAGGAAAATTCTTTTTTCAACATTATTTTTGTACATTTGTTCATTCTTTCTATTAGTTAGGATAGTATTTTACTCACCTAGGTAACAGATCTGGAAACACGGCAACATCTCTTCAACGAAGCCCAACAGGGTAGGAACAAACCACCAGTTTAACCATTATAACCATTATCTACACCACTCATTTTGAAGTAAAACCAAAGATGAGTGCACCCTGAAGATGAAAGGTTTACCATCTTACTTCAGTGTGTTAGCATGATAAATTAGCAGTAAACACAAAGTACAACGGCAGTTAATGGGAATAGCAGTACTATTACAACAAATTTAAGTATTGGCATTTGACATAATGACGGTGCAAGAAAGAAGGAAAAATTAAGGGATCATCAAACTTATTACAATACATCCTGAGTGGACCATGAATGTCTGTACAAAATTTGATGGCAATCCATCCAATAGTTGTTAAAATATTGGACCAAAGTGGTGGGCTTGCCATCACCACTAGCAAAGCTAAAATACTGTGCGCTTGTGCAACTGCTGTAAGTACAGTAAGTCAGTACGTAGAGTCAGGAAGTCAGCAAAATCCAGTTGACATTTACAGAGGCAGTGGCTAACAATTTGAGTAGCTGCCCAGGTTTTCTGATCCACAGTGTGTAAAACCAGGGGATATCTGTCAAAATGTTGTACCTGACAGTCAACATATTATATATATGACATATTTATGAAATATCAGTGTTGGTGCGGTCCAAAATGTCTCTCATAGGCAGCTATAAGTCTGAACTCGAACTCGAAGTACATCTGTGTTTCACATTTCTAGAATCAAAGTGGCATCCACTGCCTCGGACCGTTCCAGTATTCAGTCACACTGACGGATCACATCTCCCAGTGTCTCAGCTTTTATCCCCCTCAGCTAGTGAATGATGCATTTTGCGAGGTACACTGAGGAAATCTGGTGCTCATATTACACAGATTTATGCATCTGAAGACAAGCTTTATCTGAGATGTTTTGAAGAGCACAGACATGCTGAATGAGTTGCCCTTTCAACGAACACGGGCCTGATGAAAGAAATGTCAGATTGTAATTTAGCTCGGCTCTTTTCAGACACCGACGCCACACATAAACAAACCCACACACATACACTCTCTCTTCCCATTTTCATCCAAAGACTTTGGCAGATGGAGGCGTCTTTGTCTCTGCAGAAGTTTTCCAACCTTGAAAAAGCCACCCCCCTTCCTCAGTTTAATGAAGGCAAGCCACAACAGCGGTGTAGTAATGACTGGATTGTGTACAACATTATCCCTCCCCCTCCTGGACCGAGCCTTTGTATTCACCTCAGGCTGAGCTTCTCCCACCACAGAGCAAGGGAGGGGAGAGAAAACAAGCGCGCCTCCCCAACGCTAACTCAATAATGACTTCCCACAGGGGAAAGAGAATACGGGGCAGTCTTTGAAGTGGCTGTGCTGCAGGAGGCTCTTCTGCCCCAGCCTCTCTACAGGAAGCTCTCACATGGGTTTTTATAGAGCCTGGGACCTAAACAGGCTCCATACAGCCTGCACACACTCATCATCATCAGTCGAGGTTAGATTAATGTCTTGATATCCTGTAGTCATTGTGGGAAAATGTTATTTGTCATTGTTAAGAAAGTAGCTCATGTTGTGCCTGTCTTTATTGATTCTCATACATGGAGACACAAAAGAACTCAGTGTTTTTCACCTCTTTAGACAACCTGTGTGCTGACATGATTGCGTATGGAGATTAAGCATTCCTCACATGAGACAGTGTGTCCAGTACTCATCTTTAGTTTGTAGCACACAGAATGATTTGGAAGCTCTGCCAGCGTGATGCATTCGTGTGCTACTGTATAAACAGGAAAATCAGCTTCCTATACACAGACATTAAGCAGACTAATTTCCATGATTGAGCGATGGCAGCGTTGGTCGGGCGGTCAACCAAATTCGGTGCAGATATCCACGGTGTCTGTTTCCTGGAGTGCCACCAGGAAGTTGACATTTGAGGTTTTGAGTGAAATGTCTTTGGGATGGATTGCCATGAAGACTTTCAGGCTTTCCTCGGAATAGATTGCAATAACCTTTTTGATCCTGCATCTGTTCACTGTCCATTTAGGTCATTGGGTCAGATTTTAAATTGTCATGTAGTTTGGTTTATGATCAAATACCTGCTAAAGTAATGGCATTCCCATCCCAACCAACATGGACCTAATACCAATTTTCCTCCATATCCTTCATTCTTTTATTGCCAATATGGGCATAAAATAAGTCTTAAATTTCATTAACAATGTTCATAAAAAGGTCTTTGAAATCCTTGTTTCAAATACCAATGAGACATGAAATAGTCCTGTTATATTATTATAATAGTCAAATTTGAAGCCAAAATGCTGCACAGCGGTTTATACAACCGGAAAGTTACCATGGCAGCAGTTACTTTATTGTCTTTTGTGCTGATTGCGAGGAAAGCGCTAGAAATACGTGCTGTAAAGTAATCCACCACAAACGTACGCTTGCATGTATATGATGCAAAAGACGCCGCCTTGCTGGATGACGTCAATTGCGTTGCAGCGGGAGTGCTCTGCGTTGGCACCCTCACTGCACCACCAGCGTGGCCCCATTTGAACCCTCACAGAGCTGCTAGTGTGGCTGTAGACTCGTAGTCTAGTTCAAGAATAAGTCTGGCATAATTCTATGTTTTTATTAGCGTCAACATATCCTGACAATTAGTCCGTCTCTCAGTACTTTTAGACTTCCCTGTCTGTGGCCTCAAGCCCATTGGTTCCTTCTGAAGATGGCTTTCAACAAAGGTCAAAAGTATGTATTTCCATAGTTTGAAGAATGCTAAATAATTTCCTACAACAGCTGGGCACATTTGATAGGATTTAAAGATTTTTTTCTTAGCTTGAGAAAGTCGTGCATTTCAGCGGCCCTCACAGCTCCATGACCGAAACCACAGGGGAAGATTTTTGAAGAATTTTTCTACATTCTGAGCTGGCAACCTGCCAAAGCATCTTAGGATCAAATTCTGCCACGTTACGACAGAGAAAACTGCCAAAAAAATTTTTGGACTAAGGTGCCTGTAAGAAAGACCAGTCTGTCTCTGCACACCTCCCTCCCTCACCCCCAGTTTATTCCTCTCTGTTTCTCAGTGTACAGAGGAGAATGTGCGTCCATATGATACAGTGCACCATAAGAACTCTTTACACAGTCCCTACCTTAGCTCTAAAATGAATCCACAGCCTCTACACGCTGCTTCCATAAACACGCTACTCTCCAGAATCGGGAGCTCATTAGGACTGCACGGTAATGAGGAGCCATCCTGGTGCTCAGCAGTGGGTTAATTAGGCCAAAGAGGGCACCGGGAGCCGAGTGTTAAAATGTGAATGGCAGCGGAAGAGTAGTCCCTTCTCTCACACACACACACACCCAACATCACAGCTCACACACTTTATCCCACCCTGAATGGACACCGTCTGAATCACAGTGACCCGCAGAGGTCACCTTGTAATCACCATGGCAATGGGGGCGGCACACACGCCCTAACGGCACCGGGGGACGAATAGCAACCACTTAAAGTTTTGGCAGCATGGCAGGCATTCCCAGTGTGAATAATGTGCAGGCGGGGGCCTCCCAACAATCTGATGGCTTTACACAAATGGGGCCTTGTAGGAGGACATTCATCAGCAATAAAACACCTTCTCTCTCTTCAAGGAGTCTGTTGTGTCTTCTGTGGCAACACAACTATAAAACTGAAGCTACGGGACAGGAACATTGTTTAATGTACTGCTTTATGAGGGCATTCTCTTAATCTTAATCTTTGGAGACATTCAGCTGTGGGGCTGCAGCTCAGAGGCCATTCTCTCTGACCAGACTTTTATTGACTGTATTGCAGTCAGACTTAGTGCACAACTGCAGTCTGTTGGGCCATTCAGTGTTGCCCTGCTTCTATTCTAGAGGATTTATTCTCACAATGAGCTTGTGTTCTTTCTATTAGTTCCCTCCACAGCCAGATTGTTGGGTAAAATATCCAGTTTAAAGTTCAAATCAGACTATAATGATCTTTTTCTCTCTCTGGCATGCATCGAGTCAGATACTCAGGAATTGTTGGTAGCTCTTGAAATCATTAAAAAAAGAGAGCGAAAATGTATTCTTTAGAATATTAAAATCACATCTTGTGTGGTGGGAAAAAAGGTTTTTCCTCATTCTCTCTTCCTCTGCAAGCATTGTCTGACTGTTACCGGCCACAGCTTCCTCTCCTCTTGCCCTGTTCGCAGCCTCTAACTGTCGGCTTAGCCTCTCAGAATGCCAAGGCGAAAGCGTGCGCGTGTTTGCATGTGCGGACCGAGGTGGAGGAGGGAGGGGTCCACCTCTCTCTGTAATCCCTCTCAGTCTCTTATCAGCTCTCACAGGGAGAGCAGCGGCGGGGGAGGAGAGGAGCCCGAGCCGCGTGTATCAGCGTTGCTCATCTCCCTACATTATTAAACATCCATATTTCCATATTTCATTGAGCCCCCCGCGCCTCGGCAAATCGCGGTCTACTTAGCATTCAGATGAGAATGGGATATGGTTAATGGGTATTAGATTTGTAGATGGTTATCCTGTGGCTATGTCTTTAGTACGCAGAGCCAGTCCATCAGTCAGTCGTTGTGCCTCCCTCTCTCTCGGGGTACCACTGATGAAGTTGTAGTTGGATTTTTTTCCTCACTCCCCCGCCAGGTTTAATGAGGAAAGAGAAACTTTTTGCTCTCCTAACTTTCCCACTCTTTTCTCTTCCCAGGTCGAGGAAGATGGCAGCCTTGGCCTCAACGTTGCAAAAAGCCTCCCTGCGGAAAAAAGACTTGGAGCTGGAACTTGAGGAGCTAGAGGAGGCAGCCACAATGGTGGCAGAGGAAGAAGAAGAAGAAGAAGAAGAAGAGGAGCAGGGAGCTTCCAAGAGCGCTCCGATATCACATGGTGACAGCAGCAGCCCTTCCAGTGACAGCAGCAGCAGCAGCGACTCGTCTGATGAGAGCGAGGAATCTGAGGCTGAAGGGCAAGGCTGCACCGAATCCAACGAGGGAGGAGGAGGAGGAGGAGGAGGAGAGATGTGTAAGGACAACCCTCTACAGCTACAACCCACCTCTCCCATCCCCCAGGAGCCCACCAGCACACTCTTCTCAGAGGAGAGGAAAGTGGACGCCCTCCCCTCAGCCTCAGCAGGCTCCAGACAGCTGATCCAGGAGCTGGGGGAGCGGGTGGCAGAGGAGCTGAAAATCTCCCAAGACTCCAGCTACGGAGCGGAGAGGGACTGTTTCCAGCCGAGCAGAGCTGCAGCAAAAACTGAAGTAACATCTGGGAGGAACAGCAGTGGGACTCTGTTAGAGCCGAGCCCTCGGAGAAACCCTCTGCTCATCGTCCAAACGCAGGAAGACCTCGATGAGAGCGACTTTATCTGCTGACAGAGAATGTTGTGGAACCTGAAAGACACTTTTTGAACTGTTAACTGTAAGTGATGGAAGAAAATGGGTTTGACTATTTGGTTTTAATAATTTTGTAATCTTTTTAATTTTCTGCTCCTCTTCTTTGTAATACCAAGCTATGAGTTGTGTGCGTTAACCCTTCTCTAAAGGACCTCATTTCATACAAAGAATGATATTTTGTAAATTTATGAACTTGCTAAGCCTCATTAAAATCCTTATTTCGTATTTATGTTTTTTTAATGAGCATGCTTTTAGTTTTTCTCATTTCATTAGAAGATAGAAGAAGAATTAGAGGCAGCCCTGTTTTCTTATTCTGTCTTGCCTCATGTTATCTGACTTTGTTGCTACTGCTGCTCTGTATTCAAGCTGCCTACATGCTATACAAATATATTGTTACTCTCTGAACATACTGTGTTTTGATTTTTAAATGAATTATTTCAGCTCTTTTTTTATTGTTGAAAGAAATTCAGTTTGTAAAACTAGATTTAGACATCGGTTAATAGTGTATAACATCTTTAGTAGCCATGTATATTCCCATGCCCATATTAAGAAAAAGAAATGAAGAAATTTGTGTGATCCAAGTTGGACTCAAATAAACAAAACCGGGATGCCATTCCAGGAAGCTGACAGACATTTATCATTGTTCATTGTCGTACATCACTCAGCCCAAAGTGCCTGGCAGAGCTACTTTTAGAGAGCTATTCTTTTCCTAATAAATAGTAGGAAAAGCACTAACCCCTTCCTAAAGCCCCAGCATTGATTGAAGTGGAAAAGACTGCCGGCACTAAACAGGGCTGCGGAGCACGCAGGAGTGATTGATTCATCTGGCATGAATGGAGGAGCGCCGTCAACACAGCTCAATATCATCGGCCGCGTCTAGCAGGCGAGAGAAAACAAACAAGGAAGCACATGTCAGGCAGATAGATGAGGGCTGCGAGCGAGGCAGCGGCGCAGGAGCCGTTTGTTTGAGAGATAAGAGCACCCAAGGGCCCGAGGCAGCAGTGAGATAGAGGAGCAGGAGGGACAGCAGAGACAAACTGACACTCTGGCCGGCTCAGGCGTGGAGACACATCCAACGGGGGCAGCAATATCCACTTACCCTGCAATAAAATACACTTTGTGTCCCCTGAGTGGACTTGCGTTGATTACTGTAATTGAGGGAGAAAGATGAGATACAGAAATTACCCAAATTAGCAGAATTTCTCGGGTTTTGTGATCCTAATGGGTCATAACTGGCTGAGGGAGAGATTGATCGAGCACAGCCGCAGTGTTGCCTCAGGCTTTTTTCAAGGTGAATCTCATCCTGCGTGAGTGAAAGCAGCTCAGGAGCCACCGGTGATGATAGCTCCTTAGGTTGGCGGTGTCTGTACTATTGTGTTACCAAGATGGATGGTGTTGTTAAGCGCCTCCCAAGAAGAGACAACCTCCTTGAAACACCCCCATTGGGAGCGAGCGCCATCATTGCTGTGACTGAGATGAGTTGCGCTGTGAAAGTCAGCCCATTTAAAACCCTCCTCGTTCTGGGGACATGAGTCCAGGGACTGCGAGGCCCCCGCAGGCGGTGGCTTCTTCTCCCCACTGGGGTTTCACATTGATTAAGTGACACTGGGCTCTGTTGCCGTTTTTCATTTTAAAGTGGCCTCCATATTCCCCCATTAGTGCAGCCGTCTCTGAGCCTGACGGGGGGATCCGTGGCCAAGCTCGACACTTCAGTAGGTTCTTCTGCAATTAATACCCCTCCCTGACTGACATTTTTCAAGAGCCTGGTTTAATGAAGGCCACTGATAAATTATACAAGGCAGTAATTAATGTGATGTCTATGCTCTATTTTGACTCAGATTTGATAAATCAGACCCTTACTCGTGTAGCGAGTGCGCCCTTTGACCCTCAAGGGTCTAAGGAAATGGAGTAATGTGTTCAGGACTCCTGTGAGCCACCGTGGTAGCCCATTAGCAACAGCAGTCTGATAAGGAAGTCTAGTATGGCTTGTGATATATTTGCAATGTATATGCGTAGGCAAATGGCTGAATGTGTAGCATTCATTTACCCAGAGAACGAAACCATAAGATCACTAGGGGACAGCTCAAATCATCTCTAGCCTCCACAGGAATATCACAGAGCGCAGACTTCTGCCAGGGCCAATAGGCCAGCGTTCCATCATGTGCAAATCTGCAAGCACAACCACAATGTATGTATTACAACTGACCTATGTTGCAATGTTAAGGAAATCGAAAAATAATCTTTGGATCCGTTCCAAAATTTAACTGGTTCTTCCGTGGCCCATGCTTCCCTTCCACCAAGTTTCATGGTAATCAGGCCAGTAGTTTTTCTGTAATCCTAGTCTGGTACATAATCCCCCCATAAAACAACATCACTTTATCACATGATTTAGACCTCAGTTTGTGCACGGTTCAGACTAACAAGATATAACATGTTAGTCAGCTTTTGAGGTGCTGATTTTCTTTTACCGTTGGACAGAGTCAGATTCCAGCTAAACTAAGCGAACTGTCTCCTGGCTGTGGCTTCATATTTAATGGCCAGAGTAAGATTGATCTAACCAGAGAAAGCAAGCAAAAGTATGCCTTTAAATCAAGGTGCACCGTATATCCAACATATGGAATATGAAAGTAATAGTGGGGTCTTAATTGCATCTTGCAGACGTGCCTTGTTCATTTCTGAAGATACAACCAAAAAACAATACATAGCTAAATGTAAGTAGTATATGAGAGTTTTTAGACTATAAATGCCATCTGTTGTGTGGATATAGACAAATTTGACCACAAGCACAAGCACTTAATTTGAAATCACAGGTTTTACGTCTTTGAAAATTAAGTGAACCATTTGGTCCTTTGATATAAAGAAGCTGTGCATTTACTGTGACCTTGCTTGCACTCTGAGTAGGAATTTAAAAATGATCTCACTAATGTGATCACGGGTCCCCCCTCTCTTGTTTTTTTTTTGTTGTAAGTGGGAAAGGCAGCAGCAAGGACAGTGCCTTCACTGCCCCCTCTCCCTGCGACACGCTGCCTCGGCTTGATTGTAATAGAAAACTCAATCTCCTCTCCCGTTCCTGAGAGGCAAAGTGATTCTGGTGCTTGAAAAGATTAATAGCCCTCAAGAAGAAATGAATCAGGTGCTCTCCAGGGCCTGACCCCTCCAATGGGCGCGCAATAGAAACCCTATTGTGCACCTTCTTTCTCTCGTAGCTGTTTCGCCTGGTGCGGCTCGGCTCTCCCTTTTGTGGCCTTCGTACTGTGTCATGTCGCTCCAGGCTTGGCCGGGGAAGAGACGAGGAGCGGCTCCGGCACTCGCGAAAAAGGGAAGCAGGTGGCCGCTCCCCTCAGCTCATTCTTCGGGCTTTGTAGTCGGCCCTCTTGAAATGACTGGCGTATGGTAATGAGGGAACGAGTGCATGGGATGTGTCAGTGGCTGACAGTGCTGACAGGGAGGGATTATCTAAATGGGCTATTTTCATGCTCTTAATCACAAAAGAAAGAGTGAAATACCACCCTTTCCGCAGTGTGTGGGAGCGTAGATGTGTGTGGCTGCATGTTGACAGCACCGGCATCCACTTGTCGTCTGTAGCGTTGCCTGGCTGATTCACTCTAATTGGTGTGAGCAATGTCCGTTAAATCACTCCCTAACTCTCAGTGGACATGTGCTATCAGGCAGCTTAATGCTGCAAATTGCCTCTGCCATGCTAGCGCTGCGTGTGTGTGTGTGTGTGTGTGTTTGTGTGTTTGTGTGCGTGCGAGAAAGCCTCTCATTACAGCACCTTGTTAAGTGCGTTGGGGTTGCAGGGATGCCGGTAAGTGTGAGGGTAGAGGAGAGTCACCTGGAAGAGTAGATGCACATGAGGCTTGACTTCTTCATACTCTGACCTGCGGATATCTAAATGCACATTTTAAACTCTATACACTTCCACTTAGTACATTACAGCGCTACCCCCTGAGGACATGACAGCTGAGATGCTGTACAGCTCATCAAAAAATTTCACACTGGTGAGCAACAGCACATTTCTAATGAGGCTGCTTCCACATTGTGCTGTCTCGAGCCTGTTCTCCTTTTGTCCACAACAGTTGTTCCTTATCTGAGCCAGTCCACGCTCGAGCGTATGTCTCTGCGCTATCCAAAAAAGCTCGGTCTCGTGTTTGTTTTCATAGCTAAAACAGCTGTCAAACACGATTAATATTTCAGTGAGAGACTGTGCTGGAGGGAACCTCTAAGTGCTAGGGGAGTTGGAAACAACAAACCAACGCTGTTGCTTTCTGGCGTTTTCCCTCTTCGGCTGTGTCTGCTGTATATATTTGCCTCTTTCCTGCTCTGCTTTCATGGAAGTGAGCGGCTCTTTTATGAAAGTAGCGCAGGATGGGAGTCAAAATAAAATGGGTAAAGCTCTCCTGGTTGGTGTCAACAAGCTGTTGGTGTATCACTTCATTCCAAGCCGCGGTAGATTTAACAATCATCGTGCTGGCTCTTTGATATTTCCTATTCAGAGGCAAGCAGATCAGAGCTTCGTCAGGGGAGAAAGAGGGGAAACCTTTGAGCCCAACCTCGGAGGCATCGCCTATGTTTGCTCTACCTTGTGTCCACGGGACGGTGCCCTTTAGCCTTCATATGAAGTCCACGTTTCTGCCCCTCTTGGCTCAGAGTAGAGCAGGCTGAGCCTCAGACTAATGATGCCTCACGGATGTTAGTGTGTTACAACCAGACAGTGAACAAAGGTTTTCTCATGCTCGTACTCCCCGAGCGCTCTGCAGACAAGCTCCCCTGACATTACCGACACAGGATCTTGACACAGATAAAAGCTTCTGCTTTCGCGTAAACACAGAAACACACTCCTCTTGGTGTCAGTTCTGGTGGTGCTTCCATTGACACGCGCTAAGCAAACAAACACACAGACTCTCCACCCTGATCGCAGCCGCTGGAGCAAAACACAGCTTCATCCTGCCATGTTTCATCTGCAGCACCTCCACGGCTCTCTTCCCAGTTAGGCCACCGCACTTTCTTTAACCTGCTCTTTCTATTTCATGCTCTGTCTCTCACACACACCCCCACCCCACCCTCACACTTGTGGCCTTCTTTCTTATCTCCACCCAGCTTAAATTCACTCTCTTTCCAGATGTCTTTAACGTCGTGTCAGCCAACCTGTCTATACGTCCCACCAAGTCGTGTAGCATTTCCAGAAACTCTCCTTCTCACCCCTACGCATTTTGCAAAAGTTGGCCTCCGACCATAGTCCTCCCCCCTGGGATGTGTTGCATGAAAGCAGATACCCACACATGTGTCGCTATGCTGATCCTGTCAGCATGTCATGGATCGGCTGCCCGCTGCGATTCAATCGCTGTTCTCTGGCACGGAGAGGTGTAGATTACATCTGCATGGTACAGCGCCGTGCCTCCCAGCTGACACACGGCATCAACGGAGAGGGTAAAAAAAGTGGGCTTATGGGGAGAAGAGAGGAAAACCACTGTCAGTGTAGCAAGCCTTTAAAAAGGTGGCTTCCTGCTCATACTTCCTTTCTAGTTTCTTTGAAAGATTTACACTGCTTCTAATCAAAGAACCAGACTTGAGGCTAATAAAACATTCCAACAGGCATGTTAACAACGGGTAAGAATCAGAAAACGAC